GTATTAATTTGGTTTAATGCACACATTCACTAATTATGTCAATAGTCTTGGTAGAATGTGCTTAATTAATTTGTAATTGGAGTTTATTTGGACATAAATGTCATATTAGAAAACTTTTTTTCTTTGAGAGGGGGGAGAGGAGGGGGGAAGGGCATGCTATGTTGTTTCAACATTCAAGATCGATTTCATAGTTTGCACTCCCAAGAATTTTCATCCAGGCCAATTCCCACACCTAAATCTTACCAAATGATATTTAAACAACTTGTAAATGAAGAGCTTCAATATTATAGAGTCACTGAGGACTTAATTTTGAATCGTTGCTCATTACCTAGATTACAACCCATAATCACCTATCCCGTTGTCAATTGGATAATCATTTATCTTCTTCTGCCTAAAATCTATATCATTTTCAATATATTTTCTTCAATCACTAATTGCAAGTAAGTTCTATTTAATTTGTAATGAGTCCATCACTTATTAATGATTATTGACTTTTTATTTGGGGTTAGGATACAGACCGAAGGGATCTTGCTTGGCATAATCAAGCAATATAACAGGTTACACAAACTGNTTGGACCTTGAAATGGTCCTGTGATAGAAATGTACACATGTTATGAGTTTGAGAGTGTCTGGTATAAGGGAGACTTTGCCCAAACGCTATGTTATTCATGATCCTGGTTAAGGGGATATTATTGACGTGGTGCCGAGTTATACGACATTCACGAGTACTTCCACGGGTTGATGGATGATCAACGAGTTGATTAAGGACTCCCGATTTTAGGGACATCAGAGAAGATTCAAGGAGGAAGATTCTAGCCATGAAATTTATTGAGATATAAGACTTCAAGTAAACAAACATTTTAACTAGTGTATTAGGTTGCGTGGGCTACTAATCAAACATTTTAACATTTTCACGTTAAAATTATTTGTGTTGTATGATTGTCATTCTTTACATACTTACAATTTATGTTCCTTATATGCGTTCGATAATATGTTTGTTAAAATTTATCTTGCGTTGTTGGCCTTTCTAATTTCATAAATCTATTGTCAATTGGTCGAAGGAATTAGAGATATAAGGTTGGTAAATTGTGTAGAATTGTATTGTATTAATTTGGTTTAATGCACACATTCACTAATTATGTCAATAGTCTTGGTAGAATGTAATTAATTTGTAATTGGAGTTTATTTGGACATAAATGTCATATTAGAAAATTTTTTTTTTTTGAGAGGGGGAAGAGGAGGGGGGAAGGGCATGCTATGTTGTTTCAATATTCAAGATCGATTTCATAGTTTGCACTCCCAAGAATTTTCATCCAGGCCAATTCCCACACCTAAATCTTACCAAATGATATTTAAACAACTTGTAAATGAAGAGCTTCAATATTATAGAGTCACTGAGGACTTAATTTTGAATCGTTGCTCATTACCTAGATTACAACCCATAATCACCTATCCCGTTGTCAATTGGATAATCATTTATCTTCTTCTGCCTAAAATCTATATCATTTTCAATATATTTTCTTCAATCACTAATTGCAAGTAAGTTCTATTTAATTTGTTATGAGTCCATCGCTTATTAATGATTATTCACTTTTTATTTGGGGTTAGGATACAGACCGAAGGGATCTTGCTTGGCATAATCAAGCAATATAACGGGTTACACAAACTGATTTTTTGTGCATCGAACTGGTATAATAAAGAAGATGAAGCATAACAATAAAGAAAGAAATGCTAGAACTTCTTACCTTTCTTCTTTCATCTATAATAGACATTTGACCAAGTAATACTTTTTATCTTATAAAGATTTTGTATTTTTGAGATCAACGATTTAAGCCTCTCTTATCTCCAAAAAAAAAAAAAAATTCAATAACAATCTGTAATTAGTCTACTGNTTAAAATTTATCTTGCGTTGTTGGCCTTTCTAATTTCATAAATCTATTGTCAATTGGTCGAAGGAATTAGAGATATAAGGTTGGTAAATTGTGTAGAATTGTATTGTATTAATTTGGTTTAATGCACACATTCACTAATTATGTCAATAGTCTTGGTAGAATGTAATTAATTTGTAATTGGAGTTTATTTGGACATAAATGTCATATTAGAAAATTTTTTTTTTTTGAGAGGGGGAAGAGGAGGGGGGAAGGGCATGCTATGTTGTTTCAATATTCAAGATCGATTTCATAGTTTGCACTCCCAAGAATTTTCATCCAGGCCAATTCCCACACCTAAATCTTACCAAATGATATTTAAACAACTTGTAAATGAAGAGCTTCAATATTATAGAGTCACTGAGGACTTAATTTTGAATCGTTGCTCATTACCTAGATTACAACCCATAATCACCTATCCCGTTGTCAATTGGATAATCATTTATCTTCTTCTGCCTAAAATCTATATCATTTTCAATATATTTTCTTCAATCACTAATTGCAAGTAAGTTCTATTTAATTTGTTATGAGTCCATCGCTTATTAATGATTATTCACTTTTTATTTGGGGTTAGGATACAGACCGAAGGGATCTTGCTTGGCATAATCAAGCAATATAACGGGTTACACAAACTGATTTTTTGTGCATCGAACTGGTATAATAAAGAAGATGAAGCATAACAATAAAGAAAGAAATGCTAGAACTTCTTACCTTTCTTCTTTCATCTATAATAGACATTTGACCAAGTAATACTTTTTATCTTATAAAGATTTTGTATTTTTGAGATCAACGATTTAAGCCTCTCTTATCTCCAAAAAAAAAAAAAAATTCAATAACAATCTGTAATTAGTCTACTGATAGAGACACATGCACACGGGGTTAGTTACAATCAATCCTAAGGTGGACAATCAGCTAGATGAGCTATATTCTGGTGTAACTGATGTGCCGCTGATGCGATCAGTTGTAACAATGTGACTGAGCGGGAGAATGAGCTAGTGTGCCATGGCTACCATTTCAAGTTCAACCCAACAAACAGGAATGGGTTCACTTATTACTGGGTCACATTATCTTGAAAAAGATCATAGGTTGTTCAATACAAATTAATGGACCCTCGGTTTCTATTCAATGCAAATTAATGTTTAAGATAAGAATGATGAGGACTCGCAGCTGCTCTATGGCAGCACTAATTCTTCACGACTACCCACGAATAAAAAAGTTTGGGCCCATAAAGTTTGTAATGCTGCCAAATCTCTATTTCAGTCGATTGAAATCTTAAAGTTTGGCATTAATAAAAAAATTAAAAAAAAAAAATTAAGTACTAACTATAAAGTATATTTCAAAATAACAATTAATCATTATAAAGTTTAATAATAGTAGCAAGTGTTGTGAGAAACAACATAATAATTAATTAAATAATAAATAGTCTTCTAATTTTTCACTTGGAAAATTTTTAATCACGTCTCTTCTAATTTATTATATAATTTAAAAACACCTTCTATTATTCAAAATATTATTGACGCCCTTTTTAATTTATATTTAAATATCAGTAACATCCCTTGCTATTAAACCACCATTTTTAACAAAAAAACATTCATCGAAAATATCAAAATTACCTTTATATAAACTTCAAACAATCTTTTTTATATAAAATTTGATTAAAATTGAGTCGATTGAAATTTATATTTTTTTACTTATTAAAATTTATGTCAATGAAAATTGTCAATTCAAGTTGATTAAAATTTATTTTTTACGTATTAAAATTTAAGTCGATTAAAATTTAAATTTTTTGTGTATCGAAATTCTAACCAATTAAAATTCTACGTGAGTTGATTAAAATTTAATTCGAGTTGATTAATTTTAATCGACTTGAATAGAATTTTAATCCGCTCAAATTTTAATATATACATAAAATATAATTTTTAATTTACTCAAATTTTATTACGTAAAACATGAATTTTAATTACCTTGAATCTAATTTTAATCAGCAAAAAATTAGAAAACAGAAGAAGTTTCCTATAAAATATGTATATCTAGCCGGGGTGCGAATTGGACAATTTATTTTTCCTTTTCGCTTGTAATTTGGATCAACTTGGACCTCGCGCCGTGAGGCATGTTGCAACCGTGCCATTCATCTTCTACACATATGACCACTCCACGCCACCNCTAATTCTTCACGACTACCCACGAATAAAAAAGTTTGGGCCCATAAAGTTTGTAATGCTGCCAAATCTCTATTTCAGTCGATTGAAATCTTAAAGTTTGGCATTAATAAAAAAATTAAAAAAAAAAAATTAAGTACTAACTATAAAGTATATTTCAAAATAACAATTAATCATTATAAAGTTTAATAATAGTAGCAAGTGTTGTGAGAAACAACATAATAATTAATTAAATAATAAATAGTCTTCTAATTTTTCACTTGGAAAATTTTTAATCACGTCTCTTCTAATTTATTATATAATTTAAAAACACCTTCTATTATTCAAAATATTATTGACGCCCTTTTTAATTTATATTTAAATATCAGTAACATCCCTTGCTATTAAACCACCATTTTTAACAAAAAAACATTCATCGAAAATATCAAAATTACCTTTATATAAACTTCAAACAATCTTTTTTATATAAAATTTGATTAAAATTGAGTCGATTGAAATTTATATTTTTTTACTTATTAAAATTTATGTCAATGAAAATTGTCAATTCAAGTTGATTAAAATTTATTTTTTACGTATTAAAATTTAAGTCGATTAAAATTTAAATTTTTTGTGTATCGAAATTCTAACCAATTAAAATTCTACGTGAGTTGATTAAAATTTAATTCGAGTTGATTAATTTTAATCGACTTGAATAGAATTTTAATCCGCTCAAATTTTAATATATACATAAAATATAATTTTTAATTTACTCAAATTTTATTACGTAAAACATGAATTTTAATTACCTTGAATCTAATTTTAATCAGCAAAAAATTAGAAAACAGAAGAAGTTTCCTATAAAATATGTATATCTAGCCGGGGTGCGAATTGGACAATTTATTTTTCCTTTTCGCTTGTAATTTGGATCAACTTGGACCTCGCGCCGTGAGGCATGTTGCAACCGTGCCATTCATCTTCTACACATATGACCACTCCACGCCACCGAGCCAGTATTTCAATAATAGTGTGAAGAACTTTGCTCTCTCTCTCTCTCTCTCTCTATGCTTCGTTGCTCATTTGCTGCAAAAACCTAGCTACAGCCTCATCACAGCTCAATATTTCCTTATTTATTCTCAATCGCCATGGCAGGTCAATCACCTAAAACTCAAAGTATGCTTCTCTCTGCACTATTTTTTCATCAAAATTCCTCGTCCTTTTACTACAAATCCATGTATGTACATATATACTTTAATTGGCTGTTACTCGGTTATCACAGTTTAGATTGGTTAGCAAATGAACGTCACCTAGAAGTCGCATTAGTTTCGACAACGTTTGCGATTTTGAATACTTTAACCTTTTCTTAGGTTTTTGGTGTTGATTGAACTAAGGGCCCGATTGGAATGGAAAAGACTCATGGTTGTTGCGAATAACTCGGTATCTACTGCATTTAGCAGTTACTTCAGGTTGTATTGTCCACAAAACAATTGCTGATATAAGTTTAGGTGCTTTTGGAAAATCGTGCCAGTAGGTAAGCTGTGCACGAGTGATGAAATTGGCAATGCAAGAATATATTTATGTGGTTAGAGAATTACCAAGTTCACTGACCAGATATGCATCGAAGAAGTATGATGTATGATGCAATGAGTTCAGGACTTTATTCTTCTCAATTCTAAGCCAATTTTCTGGTAAATGAACAGATTATTTGGAGTATATCAACAAATGGATAGTATTTCTCCACTTCAGTTTGGTATGCAATTGGATAACTGAAAGAAGCTGTAAATTGGTGCTCTCTGGTTTGGCATCCACGAACAGTACCCATTTTTTCATTTAATCTTTGCTAAATTATGGAAAGACAGGTTTAGAAAAGATATAATTTGGATAATCGGAGTATTCTCAACTCACTAAATCGTGTAATATGTAGGGATAATAGTGAAAGTATGAGTTATCTGTTCTTCTACTGCATATGTGCTTGCTACACAGCAGCTGGAACTGCTCAAAACTGGAAAGGTGATTCTATTTAGGCTAAACAGAAAACATATGGACCTGTTACTGTCTGCTGCTTAAGAAACAAGAGGATATTCCCAAACTTATCCTGAAAGCAGCAAATAGTCGAGGTCTAAATCAGTTCCAAAGCATGATTAGGCTGAAGATTATATTCGGGATGACAGGAGATTCGACCATAGCTTTTGCTAGGTTTCGGTCAGTAGTTCCTTGTTTAGCTTTAGCTATGTGGCCTGATGTTTTGGCTGAAGATAGAGCTCTGTTGGTGGTTTTCATGCTCCTATTAGGGACGATCTGGTTCTTGTTGGACTTCAACAGTCAGTTTTTGTTGGGTTTATGCTTTCGTTGTACAGATTTTTATGGTACTGTTGTCTTGTACATGATCTTCCTGTTAATATTCTCTCAAAGCGGAAGTTTTAGTTTCCAGAATATATGATTAGGTCTTGTTGCTCATTTGATTCATTGACAACTACTAATGTCACACAGATGATATGTATGAAGATTCAAAGAGCTCCTATTTTCACAGACCAGCACTGGATGTTTCCATTGCATTCCCTCAGGCAACTCCGGCTTCCGTATTTCCTCCTTGCTGTAAGATTGATCTCTTTACTATCCAGAAAATGTGTGAGAAATTTATTTAATCTGGATCAGATATATATAGTAATTGGTACACAATATATATGATAAAATTAATATGTTAAACGCTTGACACTACAGCTTCAGACTATTATCAGTTAGATGACTTGTTGACTCCAGAGGAGCAAGTGATCAAAATGAAAGTACGAGAGTGTGTGGAAAAAGAAGTTGCCCCAATAATGACAAAGGTATTTTCATTCTTGTTTTTTTGGTTGCTGAAATCATCATTAGATGGATACATTGACATTGTTGGTGTGCTGAATAATGGTGAGCCAATTTTTAAGGCTTCTCTTCTCAAGTATATATTTTTTAAAGTGATACAAGAAAAGTAAATTGAGATTCGAGAGTATAAAGGACTTTTTGATAAACTTTAAGGTGTTATGATACTTATAGGCCTGTATGTAATAACCATTTTTCTGGCCCTTGAATCTGTCTTTTCAGTATTGGGAGAAGGCAGAATTTCCATTTCAAGTTATTCCCAAGCTTGGTGCCTTGGGCATAGCTGGAGGCACTATCAAGGTAGTTTACACAATTTGGTTTGTCTACGTTTGGACATTGTAGCTGTGGTTGATGGGATGAGTAATTAATCTAGCTTTCAGGGCTATGGATGCCCAGGTCTCTCAATTACTGCAAGTGCTCTTACTATCTCAGAACTTGCCAGAGTTGATGCCAGCTGCTCTACGTTCATTTTGGTTCATTCTTCTTTGGCAATGCTCACTATTGGTAAAGTCTTGATATTAATTGTTTATTCTTCCTCTAGCTTCTAAGATGTCAAAGTTTTGGGTTTTCCTTAAACAAATAAATCTCAGATGGATGATGAATTTTTTATGATTTGTTGTTCTATCAAGAACAGCACTGTGTGGGTCAGAAACACAGAAGCAGAAATATTTACCATCACTGGCCAAACTTAACACCATAGCTTGTTGGGTAAGAATCTATTCTTTCTCATTTTTTGTATGCATGCTTAGATTCCCAAAAGTACATCAATAATTGTTTCTGTCATCCGTGAGTAACTTGATACTGTGGTCTTGCGTCTTAGGCTTTGACTGAGCCTGATTTTGGAAGTGATGCAAGTGCTTTGAAAACATCAGCAACCAAGGTCCAGGCTCTCACTATATGGCAAATTTCATAATCTGTATAGCTCCTCATTGGTTCTGCTTCATTTTAAGTCGATGTTAACCAGTGATTTCTTGACTTTCCATGTTCTTGCTTTTCTCTTTGATTTGTCAGGTCACTGGAGGTTGGATCCTTGAAGGCCAGAAGCGCTGGATAGGAAACAGCACTTTTGCAGATGTACTGGTTGTTTTTGCTAGGAGCACAGCCACAAACCAGATAAATGGGTGAGTGATGTACACCACTTATATTTAGTTGAGTGTGGTTATGCTTGAGTCAGAGGCTAAAAACTCATGAAAATAAATCAGATACTAAAGATCCAAACCAGAAGAAAAAAGGAAAAAAGAGTCCCAAATAAAACACAGACGTGATACACAATAAATCTATGCTGTCTGCATCCACATTTTCTCTCTCTAAACAGGGTCATAGCTTCTGTCCTCTGTTTCAGTTTCATACTAAAGAAGGATGCCCCAGGATTGCAAGCTACTAAAATAGAGAACAAAATCGGCCTGCGGACTGTTCAGAATGGAGATATTCTCTTGAACAAAGTTTTTGTCCCTGATGAGGACAGACTACCTGGTGTCAATTCGTTTCAGGATACAAACAAGGTATGGTCGGTTGCAGGTTCTATTGAATGATTGTTTTGTTTTTTCTCCCTTTTGGGGCCAAATCAAAAAATTATCTGGATGGTATATTTTTGGTCAAATTCAAATACTTTACATGACAGGTGGATTGAGAGATTTCTATTGTCAGGTGTGGTTTTTGGTTTCTTACTGCTGCAAGAACCTTCCTTCCTGGTGTAGTAATTACGACAAACTAATTATATGAACAATGATTGAAGTCTTACTTCCTGGAGCTCCCCATGAATATTGTGTCATCACTTTCAATGTCTTGAGCATTTTTGCAAATTCGGTTCTGTAAGATTTATGCAGTGATTGTAGGTCTAGGGGCTAAATATTGATGTAGCCATATTCATTGTGCCAACACAAGGGTGTGCTAGCACATACAATATAACAAGATTACTGCATCAAATGCTTTTTTATGCAGATGCTGCATCCAACACTCATTTACTTGTTTCAGTTGTCTATATTAAATTCCTTATTACACACTGTTGAGGGTTTGACTTTTTTGAAGTTTACTATTTTATTTTCTAATTCTTTGTCACTTTTTTCCTTTTGTTTTTCTCTCTCACATTTCCTCATCTCGTATCACATATAGAATTCTATGTGATCTACATGGGGATCGATGAGATAGATTTTATAAAAAAACCCAAGGCTGTAAAATTCTACATTGCCCTTCTATTCTGAAGCACCTTGACAATCAAATGGTTCACCTGCATATGTCAAAAAACTTCATGCCTACCAGTTTTGTTAGTCTTTTCCTACACTGGGTTTTAAATGGCTACCCCCAGGTGATGTCTGACTATAAATCTGTCATTATATGTCATAGTTTCTTCAGAGAGTCTTTTCGGTGAATTTTACTGCCTTGGCCAACAGAATTTGTAGATTTCTTTTGACAGTTTCTTCTGCAAGTGAGAGTTGGTTTTGATGCTCATGGGTTATTTGGCATTGATACATGTGGTGGTCTTATTTTCATGTTTTCCTACTTTATGAATTGGCATTTCTCTCATTGATGCTATGAAGTTTGGAGTGACATTCGATGCCCTTTTATATTGTCTCTTTATTTCGATGGTAAAAATGCGGGTGTGCGTGGCCTTGCCATGGATCTGTTTACTTTTCTGGCTGTCTTAAATCTCCTGTCGATTGTGTCAATTCTAATCTTATTCTGGTGCCTACCTTGATCCTTTAGTTGTCTTTTACTCAATTAGTTACCACTATGTGGAAACAGGTCCTTGCTGTTTCACGTGTCATGGTTGCCTGGCAACCGATTGGCATCTCAATGGGTGTCTACGATATGTGTGACAGGTATTAAACTACTCAAACGCCCAATTTTTTCCACAGAAGCTTGTGATTACTTTGTTTGCTCTCCAAACACCGGTACTTTTAGTCTCTTCGGTGTTCAATTTTGCATGTCCTTCAGGTGACCATGATACGTCATACAAGTGCCGACAATGCGAATTAGTTTTCGGCACCAATAACAATATTAGTACATTAACATAAACACAAAATAAAAAATCAATTCAATAGTTCAGTTCAACTATGTCTTTAAACAATAGAGTGAAATTTCGCTTTAATCCTGTGGTTTCACCTCTCCATACTATTTCTCACCTTCAGAAATAACTACATAACTCTGATGTAGTTATGTGGTATTTTTAAAGGTAAGGGGAGTGATGTGCAGAAGGGCTTAACCGAAGTGTGAAGTGAATTTTGCATTAAATGATATTATTAAACCAAAAAATTAAAAGACAAAGCTAATAAAATAAAGCTGAAGTCTTCCATCAATCTTATCAATAGATGTTCCTTATTTGTCATTTGTATGAAGCCTACTGTCAATAATATAGGTAAATTTTTTACTTTTGTGTTGACAGCCTTTAGTTGATGTGCCGATCATTTTCTTCAGTTCTTCTGACTTTTTTAACCTTAGTATGAACTATTTCGATCTTTTGAAATTGAAAGGTACTTGAAAGAGAGGAAGCAGTTCGGAGCTCCATTGGCAGCTTTCCAGATCACTCAGCAGAAACTGGTGCAGATGTTGGGTAATGTTCAGGCGATGATTCTTGTTGGTTGGCGCCTTTGCAAGTTGTATGAGAAAGGTAAAATGACTCCTGGCCATGCTAGTTTGGGGAAGGTAAGATCATAGTTTCTAGTATGATGAAAGCTGAGTTGATACTTTTTCTAATATTGTTGCACTAATTGCAAACTTCTTCAACATTTAGTCATGGATTACCTTGAAGGCAAGGGAGACTGTTTCTCTTGGACGGGAGTTACTTGGTGGCAATGGGATCTTGGCTGACTTTTTAGTTGCAAAGGTTTACATCATGTCTTGATTTCAGTAATTTTTCTACAATTTGGTTGTACAAAGGGGTTGATTTTTTATTTTTGCTCTCTTGGTGGACACACATTGCCAAACTTAACGGTGTAATGGTGTCTAATTTGAGAATGCTTTTTATCTGATTCAATTCAATCTCATTAACTGAAAAAGCTGTCTAATATGTGATGGGACATGTATTAGCCAATTCCATGAGATCTAAGCTAGATGGAACTGAAGTACTTAACCTTCCTGTTTGGTCCTCTAAGGTTCCATTTTTTCAATCCAATTGTGTATTTGATAGTCCATCAGCTTATTCCTTCATTAGGCAGAAGTACTTAGACTTTATAGCCTAAGGTGGCCTAACCTCATCGCTGGATATTCTAAAATGCAATTGAGGGACTACGTTTTATCTTTCATTCTTTGACATGGAGAGAGGTACATTATTTTTCTTCACCCATCTCTAACATAATCGTCTAATTATGTGTAACAGGCATTCTGCGATTTGGAGCCCATCTACACATTTGAAGGCACGTATGACATCAACACATTGGTCACAGGAAGGGAAATCACCGGATTTGCCAGTTTCAAGCCACCTGCATCTGCATTGATACCACGAAGCCGCATATAATTGTATGAATTCTCTTCTCTTTTAATTGTGCTGGGAACTTGTTTGTTACATCATGCACCGTGCCCACCCGTTGGGCTTTCTGATACGACACTTGACAACAATTATGGATTATTGGATCAATATACAGGTGTTGTATATGTTTATACATTTCAAAACATTGTAAAATAAACACTGTACAACATGGTCTAGCAGACATCGACAAGTTCTAGTCGTAGATGACCAAGCATTGTGAAGCTTCTCGAAGCAGGATCTCGACTTTTATCTTTCACATAATCTTAAATGTGCCTTGGCCCTATTGATTATTGATTGCTAGTATAGACAATCCATTATGTGGCTTTATTGTTCTTGTCCCTTTTAGGAGTGAAGCAGAAATCAGGAAAATAATTAATGGTCAATTTGTGCATGAGCAGGAACGGAGCTCATCAGTCGTCAAATCTTACTGGGTCAATCATGTGATTACTATTGTTAAGACTTTCGATTTATTAAGGTAAACTGTTGTTGTAGTGGTCCAAATTGAATAAACTTACATTATCACTCGGATCATAATATGTGTATATACACATATTCTTGTATGAGAAAATGTGACTGTTTGTTGCTCCAATGAGATTCTATCAGCTTTTTTAACTGGGAGAGAGCGTGAGATTTTGGCGGTTTTTCTATCTCAGTTTCTTTGAACTTGTTTATTTACCGGAAGAAAAAGGCGATCAAGGGAAATTGAGATGAAAAGGTTTGTTTTTTGTCGGGCCATCCGCTTTGTCTTGTCACACCTTTCCACTCAACTTGCGAACGTCTAGAGAGAGGATATAGCTCAATCGGTAGAGTTCCGCTTTTGCAATTGGGTGGTTGTTGTCAGATTCATTGGATCCATGGGTGATACCAGACACTAATCTGATAAAATTGAAAAGTAATCTTACTTGTACTTCGGAGTAGTTGATTCTTAAGAGAGATTAATTGGCAAATTGGAATATGACATGAATCTATTGGGTTGATGATCACTTATTATCACCATGGCTCGAGGTCCAACCTTTATATACTCTTAATAAAACTGCCTTTCATTAAGTTCCCGAATGACAAATGCAAATTTAGCACTCCATCAATCTTCTAGCTGCAAAAGCCAAACTTTTTGCTTTGCCAAATCAAACTCCTATTGCCAAATTTACAAGTGATTTTCATCTTTGTGACCTCCGACTGCGTAGGTATTAAAGTCTTGCGGGCTAAACAAGGCAGAAACGGATCTCAAAATAATTGAACTTAAAACATCACTCCATACAGTGAAAGTTTGCAATTGAATGAAATAATAATTGAACATTATATATTGTTAAAAAAAGGTAATTCAGTGCACGAGACTCTGAGTATTGTCTGATTTTAGGGAGCCAGAAATATATAGTCTTACTCTTACACGCGAAGAGTGTTCTCGTACCTTAAATTTAATGACACCTAAACCACAGTGGAGTCCGTACCGTTGCACCATTGTCATTGAAAAATTCTATACTAACTTTGGTTACATTTCCAACGATTCACATTTACAAAAGGCCACACAAACGGGGTCTGGAACAGAACTGCCTTCCATTAGCTTTGACCACAGCCATCATTCCAGCAGTTACACCAGCACAGATTATAGAAGCAAAAAAATGATGTGCGTTTCGTCCCACTAATAAGAAATAAGATCATAATTAAGGTCCTCTTACCGAACATTCAATTGAAAGAGCAAGACAAACACAACCAAGTGCAGAATGCAATCTACTTTAAGGCTAGACCCAATAGCGAAGAGACGGTACCTTGGTTTAGCGTAATGGATGTCACCGTCAATCCTCCAATTAACAAAGCTGATGCTACCGGGAGATACTGCATATACTCGGTGGATCCATATCAGCATAATAAGAATGTCAAATGATCAAAGTTGTTCAATGCATTTTCTACTCTTTAACATGACTAGTCACAATTGCTATCATTTCTAAGTTAAAGCCAGCCATACAAGCATGGACCGCAATGAAAATGCCCTGAACCAAATCAGCTATCATGAATTCCATATCTAGAGAGTGCGCAACTGTATGCACATGATCCCATGCATATGAACTCTATATCCAAGACTCTTTAGAAAATGCACATCCTTATTGCTTACATTGAGTGATTCAAAATCATTTCGCTGGAACAGGGAAGGACTGTTTTTGTTGACCATGTAGTGGCCACTTATAAGATCCATTGCATCCTGAAATAAGAGACATTTAAGTTGGTTAACTTTGATCAAACTCCCAAGAACCCACAGTCTCATCGTAGTATATAGTTGAAAATCATTAATGATCAAAGGACTTATGAGGCAGCTTGCCTGTCGAATTCCATCTTGAAAATTGTTTAAATAATATCTTGATAATGCACTCATCCCATCTTTAATTAGTCCTGCCATAGTCTGTCTTCCATATCTGCAATGCCGCATATTTATAATGTATCAGAATTCACAAAAAGGTGATAAACATGAAACATCACCCGAAATCTCAAATTTCCTTATAAGATTAATTACCTGACAAGGTCCCCTTTCAGCGCATGGGTCCCAGAATATTCGAGGCTTATCTCATCACCTTGCTCCACCCATACTATCACAAAGGACATTCCAAGTTCAGATCTAAGAAGAAAGATATTGATACGGAAATCACAAGTGATAGAAGCAACTAGTTTCAAAGTGCATACAAGTCTTGAAAATCTCAAAATCTTCACCAAACATAGAGATGCACTCGGTGGAAGAAAGTGCACCAATTTCCTGCAGTTGTGAATTCAACGATTTCCTGGCCAAGTAGCTCTGTGCAAACAAACATGAACCAATCTCAATGAGGAATCTGTATTGTTTCTCATCTAAATATATTGAACAAACATTATGTTGAAACATAAAAAAGGAAACACAGATGAAAACTTGGCCTTTATAACACCCATTTAAACCTTTAAGTTTGAGAATAATTCAAATATTCATATTATTTTATACGCTTTCTGAATCGAGCATAGCATAAGTACCTGTGTAACATTGGTTCTATCAAGGCAATCAATGCAGTTAGATCTGATAATTCCTTTCTGCTGTGTTAGTATCTCTCCTTTTGTGTCTACGAGGAAATATCTGCTCAGCTGGAATAGTATAAATTAAAAACAGAATTATGAAAAACAAGTGTGGCTGCATTGTAGCATCTTTTTCAGAAAAATGTTCTCAGAACACATTCAAGTTCTGTTCATTACCCTTGCTTTTCAAAGTCCTCAGAGACTTGCTCATATAGAAGTTGTATATTGTCAAAATTTGAGTTGCCACAACATTGATGAAAGTCAAAAGAGACATATCTGAATCAACAACAAATAAAGAACAAAGAAATAAATTAGTTTATCCTATTAGAATTCATTTCTCATGGTGAAAAGCTATATCAAATCCTAGTTAGGATGATAAAAGTACAGATATTGGTGTCATTTGAGAAAAGAAAAAAACCAAAAGGAATGAAAAATGCAATGTAAATGGTGGAATCTTATCCACATTCCTCTAGTAAAAATCATACTAATATGGACATTTGCCTTTGGAAGGACACCTAGTTCCAAGGAGATCACCAAACAGTGAATAGTAAATGATTAAAAATTTACTATTCCCTTGTTTTCCGCATGATGAGTATGAACTAACAGGAACAAAGTGACTATTTTAGTGCAATAAAATACAAAAGCATGAATGAAAATCACCTCACATTTGGGAGCCTTTGCATTTCAGCAGCAAATGCCATATTCAGTAGACCTTCATCTCCATGCTGCAAAGTAGTATAAAGCAAAGATTAAAACGTTTAAATATGCACACAATAAACAGAGTCAGCTTCACATAAAGATTAAAGTAGCAAATTTATGTGCATGTAAGTACTTTGGAGTTCCATATTAGAGCGTCAAAAGGAAAAGTAAAGGACAAAGAAGGAATTCGATGTTGTGGCTGGATGTGTATGAAGGATTATCCATAACAGGCAGGACAACATGGAAGCCAACCCAAAAATTTGTTTAAAACATTTGCTAGCTAAGTGAGATTTTGGAATTTCTAAACCATCATACTGCTCTTGTGCATTGAACAGGATTATAAGGAAATGAATTGTAATTCACATTCTTCTAGTCGGATTTCTCAGCTTCACAGTCAACCTATGGAAAGATGATAATACATAACCAAGGATAATGCTGTAAAGAGAGAAGCTATTACCTTATCAGTGAGGTCAACTGCAATGGTTTCCCCATACCTTTGTAAAAGATCAAGAAAATGACGCTCCACGACCTTTGGCTGAAAATGATCAAATTTATGACTTAGAGATAAAGAGCTACGACTTGGAGAACAAAAAGAATAATGTAGAAAATCTCATCATTATACAACTAGGAGATAAAGACTTAAATTTGGAGAAAATACATACTGTTTGCTCATGGTTAATGATATTTAGTCGTGGTTTATAGCTCAAATCAACAATTTGCTCCCAAAGGAGAGGGATAGACCCACGAATCTGAAGTGCAGATAAAAATATAAATGTTAATTGTCTGTACATTTATATATCTCCTCAATAATAACAGTAAGTAATGATACAGGCGCACAACTGCAAATAAAATGGATATGTTGGAGCTTTAGTCCTCTCTTTTCTTGTTTTGTTTAGCCCCATTTGGTATGCAGACACCATGAAACTGGCACAAATTTAATATGTTTAGTTGCATATGAAAACATGTTAGATACCCAAACATCTTGAAAGACATTCATTTCATAAATTATATTTGTTAATTAAAATTAGCACATATTTTTTCTTTTCCCAACAATTTCTATTTTAATAAGGACAAAGGTTCTGTTTCAGCATAATTAAGTTTTCTCAGTGTTGCTGTTCTTTCTTGCCAAGTGAAAGCCTAAAATTTTGTCACTCCTGACGGTCCACCATTAGCCCATTTAAATACTCTGTATTGAGGACTTTAGACAGAGAAAAACCATAGAGCATGAAAATGTGCTATTCTCTGCAGAAATCTATCACAAAAAATCAGCAGTATTGAAACCTATCAAATCAAAACTAAGTATCCAAAATTAAAGACAAACGACTTCAGTAATTGGGTGGATTCCGGGAAAAACTGAAACAGCTGAGGTGAAAGAAAGGGTTAAACTTGGAGTAGGAATCAGAAAATGAATGCATCAAGACATGTGGAGGTACATTAGATGCCTATCATCTTAATCCAATTGTCTCGTGTAAACAATGTAACTGTAATTACTATTTGATATATGTATATATACACAAACACACACACACACACATATATATACATACATCCTAGCAATAATCCCGTGTCTAAAGATACTCTGAAATACAAAAAATCGAACATTAATCATACGATATTTATATTTTTAATAATAATTTATTTTTTTAATTATGCAATTTAAAATTAAAGTAAACTATAAAAAAATAGAGAGATATGGGGAGAGAGAAAAAAAAGTATGAATTAATGGGGTTGAATGTGTAAGTTGGATTGTCTGACATTGGGAGTTGTGTAGAGAAAATGATGTTTTTGAGTGGAAATAAATTTTTGGGATAAATTTTGTACCATTGGATCAAAATAGATAAAAATTTGATCAATCTTAATTGTTGTTGTCTTTATAATTTGTGTGATTCAAGTTGCTAGTTGCCATATTATATATATATATCTATATAATAAAATAGGAGTGTGTTCAAATTTTATCCCAGTCATATTTTTTCCCTCAAAATCATCACCAATCACTTATCTCACCCATCATCCCTTTGTCAGACTCAAACGTCAAATCGCATTATTTATTTCTATCACATGTTTGATCATTTATATATTTCTTCCCTAAAAACATCACATCACTCATTTCTATCATATATTTAATTATTTAATATTTGATTGATTTGTAGTTAATATATTTTGAAAAAAATTAATATAATGAGATCGATTTTTTAGACGTTCGAATTTTATATTTTATCATGCCTTCAAGCACGAGTTATGACTAGTATATATATATGGAGAGAGAGAGGGGACTATGAGCCAACCAAATAGAAATAGGTGAAAGTATATTCTCATAGTTCAATCTACAACAATTATATACCAACACATAGAAGGAGGACAAAGAAATGGTGACCTCTATCAAACAGGTTTTCAAATCTTAGAGCACATGCATTTTCTTGTTCATACAAATACTACCTTGATTCTACCATGACTGTTCTCATCCAAAGGGCATATCCTTTACATGATGCAAACATTGCATACACACTTATACCATGATAGCATACTATGGCAAAGAGAGAAAACTTCATGCCTTACATACAACCAACTGGCCGTTTAGTATGAGATTACCCCCAAAATGGAAAAGGAGGACACTCTCTGCAGGATAGAGGAAGTGCATACAGTTATAGACATCTATCCCACCCCATCAAAAAGATGTATATTAATGCAAATTTTCATTAGTCTCTAAACTTAAATGGAAACAAAAAAGACAATTTCTTTTCTTTCAGTACCAGTTGGAATAGTCCCCCATTTTGATACAGCATTCCCCAATCCTCATCAAGAGACAAACAAATTTAAAAAGTTCCTATCTGTGAAAAATGTTTGTCCTTCAATGTTTTACTAGCCAAAAATTTACCACGACCATCATCAGTGAAATTTGAAGTTGACAATCAATTTTATCTGGAAGTATACCTGCAAAAATGAGGACTTAAAACCATCAAACTCTAGCAATTGCTCAGTTTCAATGAAATTAGCAGTGTCTCCTTCTAGGTTAGCTCCTCTTCTCCACATTCTTGTCCCTGAGTTTAATATCAGAATCAGTTACTTGAATGTTCCACACAGTTGTGTCAACACCAGACAAATTTTCTTTTCTGAAAAAAAAACTAGAACTTATAATCTCCATTTTGATGTACCTAAACGCCGTGTACATCTCCTTGAAATTAAGGTGATTTTGGCAGGTGAATTGTTCAGCTTGAGCTGTCCAGTCTGAAAGCTTAAGTCTTGGTTAAGGAAAATATCATGTTTTCTTGGGTTGCAATCTGAAATCATTCTTTGTATTTGTGTGTGTGTGTGTGTGTGTGTGAGAGAGAGAGAGAGAGAGAGAGAGAGAGGAGAGATAAATTGAGGAACAAAATGCTTCAGGATATTCCCTTGTAATAGAGGTATGATGAACCTATCCAGCTGCAAGAAGAAAGATATGACATATCAGACAAAGAAAATGCCCAAGTGATCAGATATCAGATGCCAGATTATTTCATTTCGGTTCAAGTGTTGAAAGCATTTTTAATATTTTGTCAACTAAGAACAAAGAGTACTTTAAAAGTATCAATCAAATGTTGATGCTTTCCTGCAGACAGAAGGAACATCTAACCTTATTCTCAATAAGCTCCTCCAAAAGATTTCTGTTCCAAACAAACCGTGGGTCAGCCTGAAACACAAACAGAAAATCCAAAGCTCATTATATGCATAAAATGTTGTCGAACAATACGTCAAGTCGTCTCCATTTTTTTCCAATTTGGTTTTGTTTGGGGGGGGGGGGATTCTATTTGAAACCATTGCTACAGGGAAAATTTGAATGCATTCACAGATGGAGTCGGATTATCCAATATTCTTCATGCAGGAGGGGAGAGTGTTGGAGTGGTGATTTGGTTAGAAAGGGTATATATTCAGAGTAGAATGGCCAAATGCACACATGTTTGCTCTGTATACTTCACACACAGGCTATTGCATAAAGGCATTGGAGCCACTTCGACACAAAAGCAGTAAGTTATCATTCATTGGTTGCTAAGAACTAAAAATGCCTTGTGTTAACTGCTTGGAAAGAAGAATATATAACTTTAAGGAAGTAGAGATACCAGTGCACAGGTTTAGAATTTCAAAAAGATTTCCTATGGTTTAGAATTTCAAAAAGATTCCCTGGTTCAAAATTATGTTTTGTACAATTCATAAAAGATCTGAGTTTTTGAAAAGAGCTTGATTTCTGTTTGCTTCCGTATGTATCCATGTAACTCGCTATGTAGGATTTCCATTTGTTTCACAAAAATAATACCTTTTTTTTTTAATAATACACAGATATATTATATTCCTTTGTTCTCTGGATAGGCCAAAGACATGTATATTAGATTTTAATCAGAATCCTCAAGAGAGTGTAGTTGCTCTAACAAGATTGTGTTCGCACAAAAGTGTGGTTGAATGTTCTCAAAATTATGCAAGCAAATCCGCCAAAGAAATACATGCATAACTTGGTCCCAAGAGGCTTCACATTCTACAGCCACAAGTGTGAACCATTACATTTGAAAGGCAAAATTCTTATGCACCAGATATTAGTTCACTAATGAGAAAATAATATTCCAAACACCCATTAAGCAAACAAACCTGCTTCCAAACTGGCTTACTCATCCACCCTTCAGCCAACTTGAATCTTCTCTGCAAACTGGTACACATCATCAGATTTCTTGAGGACAAAAGATTGAACAAGATACAAATGCAGGTTCGAATGATGATAACCAAAATTCAACACAGACCCTAATGATATCAAATTCAAGAGCACACAATCTGATAGAGGAACATACTTCAATGTTATATCTGTCTCATATGAATAATACAACCCTGGAGTTGATTCCACTATTTTCAACAGGGTCATGAAGTACGCCTCTTCTTTTTTCTGCACCAAAGACATTTTAATTAGGTTTCAGAGAAAATCAATAGCTGAACTTGGCCACTTTAAAAGGTGCCCCATACACTTCTAGATATTAAAAACTAAAAGGGAAAAAAGGGACCTCTTGATGAGTTAAATGTAGCGATGCCACATTACAAGATAAGAACTTCATAGACATCACATGAAAAACAGGGAAACCAAGATAAGTTCCAACTTCTTTCCGAGATGTTATCACCAGTACATATGTTCCTGCACCAATATTAAAAGAATGAGCTTGAAAAACCAATATCCCAAGCACGATTTGTTATTTCTCTCTCCTGCCCACTCTGGTTAGCTTAGTTAAGCTCACATCCTATAAATCCATGGAAACACCTCAAGGCGTCAAGGAAACTACACTTTCTATGAACCTGATCCACAGATGTAGCTTTTAGAATGAGGTCAAATCTTTTATCTTTAATGTTACTATTGCCAATCTTTGTTAATGCAAAACTGAAAAAAAAACTACTGGATTTCCGTCATGCTGGATAGTGCAAATGACTTGCTACCTATTGATTTCACATACCTTTTTAATTTTATCACGAAGACATATCCAAAATTATCTCCAGATTACACCTGTGACCCCCCAGACTTGCATTGTACACTATTTTTCTGCTGTAGTCTTATTAAATAAATACTTATGTTACACCCCTTTCTATCAGACTTTTGGAGTAAATAGTTGTTCAACATGGTGTCAGAGCTTAGAGGTCTTGAATTCAAATCCCACCAGATCTCCTCCCTTACTAGGAAAAAAAAATCACGTGTATGGGCCACCCAAAAAGGGGCCACACATGAGGGAGAGTATTAGATAAATATTTATATTACATGCCTCTCTATCAGCTTAACTTTTTAGATTAGATGGTTGTTTACAACTTAAATGCTTCTGGATGCACCCATGCACTCATATTGGAATTGGGTACTCGAACTAAAAAATTTATGTTAGCGGAATACCTGCAAGCAACCTGATTGTTCCAGCAACCCCATATATGGTAGAAACTCTGGAAGGATTTCCAGGGCAAGTATCACCTGTGGAAATATATAAAAACATCAAATTTCAGTAGTAGTAAAGTCTAATCAGTTACTTACCAAAAAAAAAAAAGTCTAACTAGTTATTCTTACACAAAGTTTGAAAGGTAACCACATTTTCAACAGCCTATTAGTTTCTGCCATCTATGTCAAATGCAGCGATTATCATTCAAGTCTTACATCATGGCAAAAAGAGAGTTTTTGCTTATAATATTTCTGATAATTTTAGTAAAATAACAATCTCAATAAAAAGAATGGAGAGACCTCAATGGTTTCGTGATATGAAGGGGACAAGAGATAGCCTTCATCACATGATCAACAATGTTTAAGTAACGTTGGCAGCAATTTTCGATTGGTGAAACTATAGAAGTAGCATCCATAGGGAAACAATTAAGAGCGAATCCAAGGGGCACGCTTATAGAAGACTTAGAAGGAGTGATTTGATACGTAATTCGAGAGATATAGGTAGTAAGTTGAGATAAAGAACAACAATACTTCAACTAAACACATAAGCGTACAGATGCTATCACACAGATCTTCCGTAAACTATGTTGTAATCCACAGTCATAATAACCACGAAAAACCAGAACAATGAAGATTCAGATTAAAAAAAAATTCTCAATTCCTCTTTCTTTTCCCATAATTTCCTAGCAACCAAACAAATCACAATACGATTCAAGCTAGTGAAATGTAAATACAAACTGTCAAGTGCTTCCAAGCTGCCATCGAAACGGCTGATGGAGAAGCTTTGATCAGGCAATTCAATTGATTTGATCACAAATCTGTCTGGGAATTCGTGTAATTCCAACTGGCTCCACAGCTTGAAATGGCTTGAATTTGCTTGAATATCCATTGTTTTCTCCTCGAATTTCTATGAACTAATCGAAATCAAATGAAAAAAAAAAAAATGCAAGAACAGGAAGCTATAGAAAGATCAAGTGATCGAAAAATGACTCAGTAATTAACCGAAGGTTTGAATTGAATAAGGAAATGAAGAAATGAAGAACGGTCGTATAACTACTCGTCGGCTTTGAAGGACACCTCCTAAATTTTTTAATATTTCGGGGTGCAAACTGCTATCTGCCCATTAAACTACGATTATATTTCTCTGTTTGAAATGACGTTATTGACCCTAATGATTTGGAATTATTAAACTGATAAGAAGAGTTATCAACAATTATTTTCTAATTATGGTTGTTCATTCAGTGCAGTTTACGCTGGAGTGTGGAGATTTTTTTATTGTAATAATTATTATATTTTGTAACTACCGTCCAACTGTTAATAAATTGCTTCCGGCCCCACTCAACCAGAGATGAGTAGATCACAGGGTGGAGGATGATGGCCCTAGAGCTTTGTCCATTTATCTCTATCTATATAAGTATGTATATGACCCAAATCGTTTAATTTTTCATCATTTATCTTATTATATTTTAATTTTTTAATTATATATATTTAATTTTTTAACTGTAATAAGTATGTTAACTACGGTATAATAAATATTTTAATCATACTTACTTTTCAACCACATTAAACATTATTATCACAATAAACAATTAAACATGACAGTTTATTACATATATTTAGGCACGGTTGAAAAAATATCATATTTTTGATTACTTGGATATGGATTGATATTTTTTACAAATAATTTGAATCCGAATTTAATATCTTACATTTCATGAATTTGAATTTATATATATATATATATATATATATATATATATATATACAATCTAGATTATTTATAAAAAAAAATATTAGTTAATTAAGTTATTAGAATCGAATCGAATTTTGGATTGTTAACGGATTCAGATAAAGACCACGAAAATAAAATTTGTTGGATTATCCGATAAGACTTTTAAATTTAAATTAATCAAAATTCAATCTAAAACTAAACCGTTGGCAAGTCTACATGAAGGTACCCTAATTTATACGACAAAAGAGAACGTCATGCATAAGATTCTAAGACTCGTGATTTATAAAAGTCTAGCAAGAGCCAAAGTGGAGTGATCATTAGGATCGAGTTCAATTAAGGATTAAAATTTTATATTAATACATTATTTTAGTCACTTAGAAAATAAAAAAAATTGAAAAATATAATAAAAATGAACATTTTTTAAAAATTATTTATAAAAATATTGATTAAAATATACCAATAATCTTGAGACAATTCAAACCATTCCAAAAGAGTAGTATAGACATGCCTAAAGTATCTCAATACACTTCAAAAAATTCAAACAAAAATTTTGATTCATTCAATCGATAATACTCTTCAAAAATACCAAGGCAATTGTTCTGTTGGTTCGTTGACTGAATTTTTATCATTAATTTGCTGATTATTTTTTTTTTCCCGTTTATTTTGATTTTTAACTAATAAAAATAACCTTCCATCGTATCCCACCCATTAATGAAATTTGAATAGTAACGCCAACCCCTAATACTGTACTTGGTCTTAAGAGTAATTCCCACCACAACTTGTGCGGAGTAAAATTGAAGTCTCCACAGAATTTAAAACAAACCCACATGAGAAAAGAAGTCAGCTGGCTATCTACCTTTGAGAAAAGCAAATTGCATCGATTGCTTTAGCACATTCAATCGCAAGCTTAAAGCACAGAACACTGGCTACTTACTTAATTCCATGACATAACAATTGCTTCTTTCTAAATATTTATGGGCTATGGTAATACTTTGTTCCGTGTTGAGTTTGTATTGTATTTATACATTATTGTTAATATTTACTTAATCCATGCCTACCTAATCATAATAGCATATCTTCGAGTTTATGTCATATGTAATTTGTGTTAATTATTAGTAGATTTTTTTTTTTTTTTTTTTTAACGACTAGCGGTGTTTAGATCAATTTACGCGAACCTCAATTAATCCCCTCCCTCGTTCCAATTAAAGGCATGACATCTATATGAGGGATCTTTTATAATCTGACTCTAAGAGATTGTCAAAATTTGAACTCAAAATATCTAAATTTACAGCTTCCGATAAACTAATTTATTCATTATACAAGCCTGAGGCTAAACTTCAACTCGCTAATCTCATGTCAATTTGGTGCTGGATTCGCGAGTCATGTACATCCTCAAGCAATCACAGCAGCATGCTACTTCCATTTAACTTATTTAGGAAAAAAGAATGTAAATGAAGACACGGTGTTTCAAAGTAATTTGAGGTCTAAAGTGATAATACTAAATAAGATTTTTTTATTTTTAGTATTATTTTAAAAATATATATTTTTAAAATTTTTTTTAAGTGAGAGAGAGGAAGATGTGATACTTTGTTTTTATTTTTTAAGAGTGAGAATAGATGTGAGTAAATATGAGTTCACTTTTGAATTTTTTTGTATTTGTTTTTAAAATTTTTGATTTTTGAATTTTTAATGGTATGAATTGAATTGTAGAACCAAATTATTGAAATTATAATTTTTTGATTGAACTTAAAATTTTTGGGGCTTTTTTGTAAGACCTAAAATTTTTAAGGATTTAAATTTTGGGTTATTTAAAAGTCGGTACATCTAATTAGATTTATTTGACCAAAAGTATACAGAACAAAATATTTTGGAAAAAAGTTCACAGCTGAGTTACAAAAACATAAATGCCCAGTTTAGGGTCATTTAATTTAAAATCTCTTATTTTTAATGCACCTTGATTCATGTGTGTTTATTAATACATATAAATACGTATTTAATGCACCTTGATTCATGTGTATTTATTAATATATATATATTACACCTTGAATTATCTTTAATGCACCTTGATTCATGCGTATTCTTTTGTGAAAAGTAATTTTGTTTTCAAATTATATTTAATACACCTTGGTTCAAGTTTTTTTTTTTTTTTGAAAATAGTTTTATTTTTAAATTAATTTAATATCCGAATAATGTAATAGTGTAACAATAACAGTGTAACAAATACACTGTAACAAAGACAGTATAACAAATACATTTTAACAAAAACAGTGTTCAATAATTTTGTGTATGTGATAACAAATTCAAAACGGAGGTGAACTATTTTGAATGAAATTATATGAAACTCTATGTTTGACAAAATGTAATGGTACAATATTTTGTGTAAATAACTTGTTACACCGTTACTGTTATACTATTACACTTTTATTGTTACATTGTTATTGTTACACTTTTATTGGTACACTATTACACTATTCAGATATTAAATTAATTTGAAAATAAAACCACCTAAAAAAAATGCATTAATCAATATGCATTAAAAGATAATTCAAAATTTAGATAAGAAATTTAACAACAAGTATATACATAAATACATACATAAGTATTTATATATATATATATATATATATTCGTTTTTATATAAATATGTATTAAAGTTCTCTTATAAAACTAGAAAATGTTTAATGCACCACTTTCTAAAGAAAAGTGGTGCATTAAATACATATGAATTAATGAAAGGCAAAAATATCACAAAAAAATCAGTAAAATTCAAATAATGTACTTAAATACAAATAAATATCAAAATTAAGAACTTAATTACCCAACATTTTTTTTTATGTATTTTTTTACAATTAAGTCTAATTTAGTATAACTCCTTCCAATTTTTCCTTAAATTTTTTATGTGGACTATTTATGTATCTAAAATTATGTGTTTTTAAAAATTTTGGGCCTAAAACCCGTACTTTTTTTTTAATCCAGTTGAACCGGCCCTCAATGAAGATGAAAATTACAAGTAAAACCAATTTCTCTATGATTCGAAGAAACAAAAAATTTCTTTAAGCACATGGATGGTAGAGCAGTAGCATCAAGAGCTGAGACTCATATAGATTATTTCAGTACCTGATCTACGTGTTACACCAGTCTTAATTTCACAAAACCAGAAAAGGGTCTAGTTTTTAAACAGACCAGCAAGCTCACCCTTCTCATGCATGGAGGACAAGATATCACACCCACCTACCAATTCGCCATTAACAAAAATTTGAGGGAATGTAGGCCAGTTGCTATAGTTCTTCAATGTCTCCCTCAATCCATTATTATACTCTTCATCCAGCACATCAACACTCTCATAATCCACCCCTTCACTTTCAAGAATCCCCACCACCCTCTGTGAGAATCCACATAGTGGAGCACTTCTTGATCCCTTGATGAAGGCCACCACCTTGTTCTCCTTCACCAATCGGTCAATGAGTTCCTGCAGAGGGACCGTCAATTGGACATGGCGGCCTGGTGTTAATCGCAGATCAGGCTTCTTTTTCAGTGGCTGCCGAACCCATGTGGTGTTTCCTGATTCATTACCTGGTGGTACCTTTCCAGTGGCTCCTATGTGTTCTTCCATCCATGATTTCCAAGCTTGGGTCAAAGCTGTTCTGTCGGGCTCATCTACCACCCCTACCTACCAACATAGAAATTTTAGTATCCAGTCATTACAAAGGCAGTTAATAACTTAAAAAATCCTAAGCACTGTGAACAAGAGAAGACAACTTTCTCTGGACACTAAACTTGATCGCGAATAAGCAGAAATATCTACGCAATAGCCCCGAGTGGCAATCTGATAATAACTGCCAGGTTTGGCAAGATTCTGGAATTGGTAATAGTCCCAGGTTTTTGGGCTTGGAAGTTGGAACCAGTTTGTTACAAACAAAACCAATTAGATTATGGCCTAGCATAGACAATAAACCACGGGCTACAAGGCAGTAAAACATGCATCAATAATGGCACGAGCACCTATGCAAGCCTGTTGCGTGATGAATGAAAACAATATGTGACTAATCATACAGAGTGTAATTATGGCATTCTCTTTTACAAAAAACAAAGATGCTAACAGGTTGCTGTTGCCAGAAAAAAAAACACTTCGCGAACATCTTGACTAATGAATGGAGGTTATCCTCGTCCTTCTTCATTACCTTTGTCCACATGAAAAATTAAATCTCCAATAAATTGTGTGAATGAATTACAATACCCAAATTGCACCCATTGCCAACAAATTTTCACCATCCAATCAATAAAAATGAACATTTCTCTAAGCTAATCTTGTAGCTTATAAGAAAGCTGCTTAAAGGATCCAACGAATAGCTAAGGTTTGTTGACAATCCCCGGCTACAATCCCATGGACATCATAAAGAGTGATATCATTAATGTGCAAGACCATCTATGTGATACAAGCCAATAGTCTAGTAGTAACCTCCATCCTCACGCGGCCAATATCCATTCTTCCTTGGATTGAAGCACCACAAACTATACTAGTATTCATAAACAGAGGTTTACTTCAAGACCATGTTGATTAAAGCACAAATTCCTGGACTTGACAATAATTTTATCGACAATCACTACAGCATCTCCATTAATAATCCAAGTTCTAATCAGAAACTCGAGAGACATTATTAGTTTCTTGATGTGCCCAAGGCAAAACTTGAAAACAGACAATGCAATATCGCTTCACGACGTCGTTCCACAATGCTATCAATACTAATCAACAACATTCTTCCCAAAACATCATATTGTAATGAAACTCCATGGCAATAGCGTAACTTCATTAGTGAAACAGCTATATAGAAATGAGCGGGGGAAAAACTTGGGCAACACAGATTAAACAGACGACAAAATCCAAAAATTATGCACGTATACATACATGAGTAAAGACGATACCTTGACGGAGTAACAGAGCCCCGGCACAAATTTCCGGTGGGCGAGGACACTGGCCGCGATGTTCCGCGATATGCCAACGAACTGAAGATCATTATTTTTGTCATAAACGGCGTAGACGCCAGAATCTGACGGGAATTTCACCGCGAGTTGGTCAGATTCCGGCGGAATGGAGACTAGGTCTGTCTCGGAGAGCTTTTTTAGAGCCGAAACCACGACGGTGTTTAGAGAACGAGGTTTAATTGTGGTTGTGGGTCTGAGAGATACAGAGGGGAAAAGAAGGGAGGGCTTGGAATGTGAATAGAATGAAAGGGTAGGGGTATTTTGGGGAGAATAAGAGAGGAGTAAGCGAAGAGAAAAGGTGGTGGGTACCGGGGTGTGTACAGTTGATGATAGGTTGAGGGCTGCCATTGAAGGGGAGCTGAGAAACAGAGAGCAGAGGGTTGGGAGTTGGGACTTGAGGCATCAAAGCAAAAGTATCAAGTATCAACTGCAACAGATTGGAAACCCGACCCCGTTGTGTGGACAATAGGTTCGATCCAACGGCTTTGGATATTGGATCCGAAATCCGCCTAATATTCGGGCAAAATTTAATTATGGGTAGAATACGCTTTTAGTTCCCAAAATATATATTTAATGACGAAAATTTCTTATCGCATTCTGATTAAAAAAAAAAAATCAGAATTTCGAACTTTCTGTGGACATCTAGAAACTGTCAGGATCTTTGTGTCAAAAACTGTTATAGAAGGCTGGAAAGTCCAACCATGTATAAGGTTCAAGGTTCTCCAGATTCAACCCTCTGTCTTATGTCAAATTGTATGGACTAAAATCAACAGGCTATATCCATCCATCTATATATTCTGGTTGTTTTGTCCACGTCAAGGACATTAATGATCATCTTCATAGGACCCCTACAGATTTTCAATGGTTCTAACTTCTAAGCAATGATGAAATAGCAACGTACTGTACATGATTAATATAAACCATGATCATAGCTAATCATTGGACAAATAGCTATAATTCATAACGGCCTTCAGAAGGAACATATTATTAGCTGTGACGTGGTGGATTAAATTGATTAATACTAGCAGGGGACAATCGTGAATATACGTCATAATAATTTCAACGGATAGTTCACGTGGTAATAAAGATAAATTATAAATTTAAACGTCATAAATTAAAATTTATATAATTTCTTGAAATCAAGTCACGAATGATAAATCTGTTATGAATATTCTAATTTCAATGTGAATGGTTTGTCTTTAAACTGATTGAGAAGAGAATTAATTAAAATACGTGTAAATTAAACAAAAAAAACTCATCATAATGATTGGGGGATAAAATTTTGAACAATCACCCAAAGCATTTTTGCACATCACCATTATTATGAAGACATAAATTCAAAGTTAGTATATAATTAATTTAAGTCGGTATTCAAAACATAGGGATCTATGTAATGCTATTGAAATCTAAGAATTTGATTTAATTTGTTAACATAATGTGACAGTAGATTATTATATAGTTATAATTGTTAGACTTTTTCGATAAAACATACAACAAATTATAACAATTTAAAGGTGGAGATAAACAATAGAATTCATCCCTCTAGTTTTATCTTGAAAAGAAAATGAAAATTAATGAGATGGGAAACTCTATTGTACCAATTTTATTTTGTTTTGGTATTGGTACTGTAATTACTATGTTATATGATAAAATTNTTCTTTAAGCACATGGATGGTAGAGCAGTAGCATCAAGAGCTGAGACTCATATAGATTATTTCAGTACCTGATCTACGTGTTACACCAGTCTTAATTTCACAAAACCAGAAAAGGGTCTAGTTTTTAAACAGACCAGCAAGCTCACCCTTCTCATGCATGGAGGACAAGATATCACACCCACCTACCAATTCGCCATTAACAAAAATTTGAGGGAATGTAGGCCAGTTGCTATAGTTCTTCAATGTCTCCCTCAATCCATTATTATACTCTTCATCCAGCACATCAACACTCTCATAATCCACCCCTTCACTTTCAAGAATCCCCACCACCCTCTGTGAGAATCCACATAGTGGAGCACTTCTTGATCCCTTGATGAAGGCCACCACCTTGTTCTCCTTCACCAATCGGTCAATGAGTTCCTGCAGAGGGACCGTCAATTGGACATGGCGGCCTGGTGTTAATCGCAGATCAGGCTTCTTTTTCAGTGGCTGCCGAACCCATGTGGTGTTTCCTGATTCATTACCTGGTGGTACCTTTCCAGTGGCTCCTATGTGTTCTTCCATCCATGATTTCCAAGCTTGGGTCAAAGCTGTTCTGTCGGGCTCATCTACCACCCCTACCTACCAACATAGAAATTTTAGTATCCAGTCATTACAAAGGCAGTTAATAACTTAAAAAATCCTAAGCACTGTGAACAAGAGAAGACAACTTTCTCTGGACACTAAACTTGATCGCGAATAAGCAGAAATATCTACGCAATAGCCCCGAGTGGCAATCTGATAATAACTGCCAGGTTTGGCAAGATTCTGGAATTGGTAATAGTCCCAGGTTTTTGGGCTTGGAAGTTGGAACCAGTTTGTTACANGTGAATAAGCAGAAATATCTACGCAATAGCCCCGAGTGGCAATCTGATAATAACTGCCAGGTTTGGCAAGATTCCGGAATTGGTAATAGTCCCAGGTTTTTGGGCTTGGAAGTTGGAACCAGTTTGTTACAAACAAAACCAATTAGATTATGGCCTAGCATAGACAATAAACCACGGGCTACAAGGCAGTAAAACATGCATCAATAATGGCACGAGCACCTATGCAAGCCTGTTGCGTGATGAATGAAANCAAACAAAACCAATTAGATTATGGCCTAGCATAGACAATAAACCACGGGCTACAAGGCAGTAAAACATGCATCAATAATGGCACGAGCACCTATGCAAGCCTGTTGCGTGATGAATGAAAACAATATGTGACTAATCATACAGAGTGTAATTATGGCATTCTCTTTTACAAAAAACAAAGATGCTAACAGGTTGCTGTTGCCAGAAAAAAAAACACTTCGCGAACATCTTGACTAATGAATGGAGGTTATCCTCGTCCTTCTTCATTACCTTTGTCCACATGAAAAATTAAATCTCCAATAAATTGTGTGAATGAATTACAATACCCAAATTGCACCCATTGCCAACAAATTTTCACCATCCAATCAATAAAAATGAACATTTCTCTAAGCTAATCTTGTAGCTTATACGAAAGCTGCTTAAAGGATCCAACGAATAGCTAAGGTTTGTTGACAATCCCCGGCTACAATCCCATGGACATCATAAAGAGCGATATCATTAATGTGCAAGACCATCTATGTGATACAAGCCAATAGTCTAGTAGTAACCTCCATCCTCACGCGGCCAATATCCATTCTTCCTTGGATTGAAGCACCACAAACTATACTAGTATTCATAAACAGAGGTTTACTTCAAGACCATGTTGATTAAAGCACAAATTCCTGGACTTGACAATAATTTTATCGACAATCACTACAGCATCTCCATTAATAATCCAAGTTCTAATCAGAAACTCGAGAGACATTATTAGTTTCTTGATGTGCCCAAGGCAAAACTTGAAAACAGACAATGCAATATCGCTTCACGACGTCGTTCCACAATGCTATCAATACTAATCAACAACATTCTTCCCAAAACATCATATTGTAATGAAACTCCATGGCAATAGCGTAACTTCATTAGTGAAACAGCTATATAGAAATGAGCGGGGGAAAAACTTGGGCAACACAGATTAAACAGACGACAAAATCCAAAAATTATGCACGTATACATACATGAGTAAAGACGATACCTTGACGGAGTAACAGAGCCCCGGCACAAATTTCCGGTGGGCGAGGACACTGGCCGCGATGTTCCGCGATATGCCAACGAACTGAAGATCATTATTTTTGTCATAAACGGCGTAGACGCCAGAATCTGACGGGAATTTCACCGCGAGTTGGTCAGATTCCGGCGGAATGGAGACTAGGTCTGTCTCGGAGAGCTTTTTTAGAGCCGAAACCACGACGGTGTTTAGAGAACGAGGTTTAATTGTGGTTGTGGGTCTGAGAGATACAGAGGGGAAAAGAAGGGAGGGCTTGGAATGTGAATAGAATGAAAGGGTAGGGGTATTTTGGGGAGAATAAGAGAGGAGTAAGCGAAGAGAAAAGGTGGTGGGTACCGGGGTGTGTACAGTTGATGATAGGTTGAGGGCTGCCATTGAAGGGGAGCTGAGAAACAGAGAGCAGAGGGTTGGGAGTTGGGACTTGAGGCATCAAAGCAAAAGTATCAAGTATCAACTGCAACAGATTGGAAACCCGACCCCGTTGTGTGGACAATAGGTTCGATCCAACGGCTTTGGATATTGGATCCGANAAAAGTATCAAGTATCAACTGCAACAGATTGGAAACCCGACCCCGTTGTGTGGACAATAGGTTCGATCCAACGGCTTTGGATATTGGATCCGATATCCGCCTAATATTCGGGCAAAATTTAATTATGGGTAGAATACGCTTTTAGTCCCCAAAATATATATTTAATGACGAAAATTTCTTATCGCATTCTGATTTAAAAAAAAAAATCAGAATTTCGAACTTTCTGTGGACATCTAGAAACTGTCAGGATANAAATTTCTTATCGCATTCTGATTTAAAAAAAAAAATCAGAATTTCGAACTTTCTGTGGACATCTAGAAACTGTCAGGATATTTGTGTCAAAAACTGTTATAGAAGGCTGGAAAGTCCAACCATGTATAAGGTTCAAGGTTCTCCAGATTCAACCCTGTGTCTTATGTCAAATTGTATGGACTAAAATCAACAGGCTATATCCATCCATCTATATATTCAGGTTGTTTTGTCCACGAAAAGGACATTAATGATCATCTTCATAGGACCCCTACAGATTTTCAATGGTTCTAACTTGTAAGCAATGATGAAATAGCAATGTACTGTACGTGATTAATATAAACCATGATCATAGCTAATCATTGGACAAATAGCTATAATTCATAACGGCCTTCAGAAGGAACATATTATTAGCTGTGACGTGGTGGATTAAATTGATTAATACTAGCAGGGGACAATCGTGAATATACGTCATAATAATTTCAACGGATAGTTCACGTAGTAGTAATAAAGACGAATTATAAATTTAAACGTCATAAATTAAAATTTATATAATTTCTTGAAATCAAGTCATGAGTGATAAATCTGTTATGAATATTCTAATTTCGATGTGAATGATTTATCTTTAAACTGATTGAGAAGATAATTAATTAAAATACGTGTAAATTAAACAAAAAAAACTCATCATAATGATTGGGGGATAAAATTTTGAACAATCACCCAAAGCATTTTTGCACATATATAGTTTCACCATTATTATGAAGACATAAATTCAAAGTTAGTATATAATTAATTTAAGTCGGTATTCAAAACATAGGGATCTACGTAATGCTATTAAAATCTAAGAATTTGATTTAATTTGTTAACATAATGTGACAGTAGTTTAATTAGATTATTATATAGTTATAATTGTTAGACTTTTTCGATAAAACATACAACAAATTATAACAATTTAAAGGCGGAGATAAACAATAGAATTCATCCCTCTAGTTTTATCTTGAAAAGAAAATGAAAATTAATGAGATGGGAAACTCTATTGTACTAATTTTATTTTGTTTTGGTATTGGTACTGTAATTACTATGTTATATGATAAAATTNATGTTTTTTATCAAAGTAGCATTGCTCGGACTAACTAATGCCCAATTGAGCACAGATGGGGCTCATTTGCAAATGGAGAAGAAGGGTTTGAAGAGTTGGATGCCCCAGTTTCCTACAGAATAGGGCTCAAGACATGGGCCAATTGGGTTGACTCAACTATTGATCCTAATAAGACCCGCGTCTTCTTCACTACCATGTCCCCTACACACCAGAGGTCCCTCTCTCTCTCTTTCAATACAAACACACACTCACTCACATACACACATTTAACGGACAAACCTCTTATATGCAGAAGTGCAGACTGGAACCGTAAGGATGGGATTAGGTGCTACAACGAAACAAGACCAGTGAAGAAGAAAGGCCATTGGGGAACTGGTTCTGATAAAAGAATAATGAGTGTGGTGGCCAATGTAGTGGGGAAAATGAAAGTCCCAGTAACTTTCGTCAACATAACACAGCTATCAGAGTATCGAATCGATGGCCATTCATCAGTTTACACAGAATTTCAAGGCAAAGTGTTGACTGATGAGCAAAAAGAAGACCCACTTACTTATGCAGATTGCATACATTGGTGTTTACCTGGAGTCCCTGATACATGGAATCAAATATTTTTTGCATATTTGTAACAAAAAAAAAGAATTTCATGCCTACGTGTCCTTTTGACTACAAGATGTCATTGATACATAGCTTTTTCTTTGCTGTATGTTGAACTTCTTTTTTACATGTATATCATTGTTTTACTCATCTCACATTTGTCAAGAGACTATTCTGGTTCCTACACACTTTTCCCCTTCCCCTTCTTTTTAAAGTCAGATTCTTTTCAATACAATTTTTCTTAAATTTAATTAATAATTGGTCGCACACCTTTTATTAATAATGAACTCTCTTATACATAGTGAATCTCATTTAAATTTATGATACATGATCAACCATTATAAGAAATCGAAGAAATGGAGTCTTGGGATTCAAATCGTGATTGAATTATAATCACATTAATTTCTTGATTTATCCAAATTTGAATTCAATAAGTATGATATAATATAATAGACTGTTAGAGTATGTGTAGCTCATATTTGTTGTGTGCATAATGGCAAGGAGGCAGATGTCGGAGCAGAGCCCGCGACGGCATTTGCCTTGTGGGATTTATATAAAGGAGATGCTGATTAGTTGGGGGTGTGGGGGCAACGCCCCCGCGGTACGATTAGGGGTATTTTTGTAAATACGTCCGTATTATGGTTATATAAATACTTAAGATGTANTAATTTTATTTTGTTTTGGTATTGGTACTGTAATTACTATGTTATATGATAAAATTACAAATACTTAAAAGAGGTCATGATCGATCATGAAAATGCGATATAGATCCCAATATTTTATGATTGATTATGCCCTTTAAAATTATAATTTACGCCTTAAAACTAATTACTTAACCTTAAAAATTAATAAATTTTAATGCTGGTACCGCTGACGGTGCTGTAAAAATTTCTCTCATGCTCAGTCAATGCTACACAATAATCATCTTGTCGGAAAGTCTTTTGAATTTGCTAAAATGTATGACTGCTTCCTGTGATTTTTCTGTAGGTACATATAAGGTACGCTGTACGTATCAACTACATCTACAACATATATCTAAATGTGAACCATGAGAATGTGTGATTGCTAAGTTCAACCTGTTATACCAGATCCTCTTTTGGTAACTGTAAGTGCAAGTCATATGTGAGAGAGAGAGAGAGAGAGAGAGAGAGAGAGAGAGAGACCGTTCCTACCAAAGAACACCCGCAGGTTGTCCACAGTGGTTGGGTCATCAAAAGAGATTCCATTAATTATATGTAGAAGACATGAGGAGCCCAGNACACCCGCAGGTTGTCCACAGTTGTTGGGTCATCAAAAGAGATTCCATTAATTATATGTAGAAGACATGAGGAGCCCAGAAGTTAGCCTTCCAACTTACTAACCAACCTTCGTTATATACTAAACATACCCAACCATACATGACTTTAGCTTCACTCCTACGCAAAAACCATCATTATTAGTCCACGTAGCATCTCTAAAAGTCTTCATCAACCTCTTGAACTAGCGCCTAGACTTCTCTCTGCTTTGCTTTATTTCACAGTAAAGCTTCAATATGTCTGTCCTCCANCGCATGGACTTCTCTCTGCTTTGCTTTATTTCACAGTAAAGCTTCAATATGTCTGTCCTCCACAGAGCCAAGCCATCTTCTTCCATGGGAATGAAACCTCCTCGAGGAAAGCTTCCATTACCTCTCTCCGTCATTATCCTAGTAGTCTGCGCTTTTGCTTTCCTCCTTCTTTTGTATACTGAAAGGATTAGTTCTCTTTCTTCCACCAACATCTTCAGGTTTAAGCCCTGTGCTAACAGAAACCATGCAAAATCACACAAGTCCAGAAAAGGTCTCTCTCTCTCTCTCTCTCTCTCTCTTATTATTATTTCTCACTCTCTGATATTGCATGTACTGTGATTGTTCAACAGAAAAGGGAGCCATGGAAAATAATCCAATCAACTACGAAACAGATGACAGGTTCGAGTTTGATCCAAATGAATGCAGCGTTGCTCATGGAAAGTGGGTATTTAACAGTTCATTTGAGCCTTTGTACTCAGACAAGACCTGCCCTTATCTCGACCCTCAATTTTCTTGCGTCACAAATGGACGGCCAGATTCTGACTACCGTCACTGGGAATGGCAGCCAGATGATTGTATCTTGCCAAGGTTGAGGAGTTTATTTCTCTGAAATTTACATGTTAATATTAAAATTGCGTATGCACGGGATACGAATATCTCTCACCCAACCATACCTAAATAACAAAAATCTCGTGCGCGGTATATGCAAAAGAATGCAGTCTCATACATAGAGATAATAGAGAATGGAATTCCATAGGATTAATATAGTTATATGTTTTGATTTGATGTTCAGGTTTAATCCTAAAATTGCCCTTCGGAAACTTCAAGGAAAGAGGCTAATGTTTGTAGGGGATTCGCTGCAAAGAGGTCAATGGGAATCATTTGTTTGCATGGTTGAATCCATCATACCCAAAGGCCAAAAATCCATGCGAAGGGGACGCACACACTCAGTCTTCAGAGCAAAGGTTTATATGAGCAATAAAATGAAATTTTTGTGATTAAAACGACTTTTAACTAATTTCTAAACAAAACAAATTCATGGAAATTTTATGGAAATATCCAAAATTCCAAATCATGATGCGCACAATGATTTTTTTTTTTTTTTTAAGTTGGAAAAAATATTTTTTTTATTTTTTATTTAATATTTGAAAATAGTATAAATAAATATTTTATTATTAAATTTATATATGAAATTAATATATATATATATATATATATATATAATTGATAAATATGATATATGTGTAAATCAAATGATATATAGACAAATAACATATATTTTAACACACATAATTAACTTTCTATTTACTTTTCCTCCCAATTTTAGAGGGATTGATTTTGATGAGTTGGAAGGAAAATTCATCCTCTATTTTTCCATCTTTCATATTTTTCTTCTTNAACTTTCTATTTACTTTTCCTCCCAATTTTAGAGGAATTGATTTTAATGAGTTGGAAGGAAAATTCATCCTCTATTTTTCCATCTTTCATATTTTTCTTCTTTACCAGGCATGATGTTTTATCTATTTTTTTAATTTTTCATCCTTCAAACTTTTTATCATTTTATTTTGTTATCGTACCAAACGAAACATTAAAATTTTATAAGTAATCTCACATTGAAAATTTCACCAAAAATGGATACAAATTCCCATCTATGATTTTCAGGAATACAATGCCACAATTGAGTTCTATTGGGCNACTTTTCATCCTTCAAACTTTTTATCATTTTATTTTTTTATCGTACCAAACGAAATATTAAAATTTTATAAGTAATCTCACATTGAAAATTTCACCAAAAATGGATACAAATTCCCATCTATGATTTTCAGGAATACAATGCCACAATTGAGTTCTATTGGGCTCCATTTCTAGTGGAGTCCAATTCAGACCTCCATGTAATAGGGGATCCAAAGAAGAGAATTCTAAGAGTTGATTCAGTTTCCAAGCATGCTAAACACTGGGTAGGAGTGGATATTCTTATCTTCAACACTTACGTTTGGTGGATGAGTGGTCTCAAGATCAAATCACTGTAAGTTATCTTTCCCTATCCTAGCTAACTAATAGGTAGACGAGTCTAACTACAGTACTAATTTTTTTTTTTTCCCATATTGTATTTCTTTTTTTTTTCCCTTCAATGAAAATGTGATACCCATAAATTCTTTATATGTATTTATTTCGTTTTATAATTGTAAAGATAAAATTTTAAAATGTATTCAAAATTATTTTTCGATACCATAATTTTATACCCACTTAGACTTGTCTTACTCATGATCAAAAGCTGATGATGATTTCAGCATATTGATACCTTTGGACAAAAAATATCAGACACATCTTGTTGATTTTTTCCATCGTAACTATTGAATAGATACTGGATTTCAATAAATGTTGAGACCCACAGTAATATTAGGAATCAGTAAATATTGGGACCCACAGTTAAATTAACGACAATAATATTAGTAGTCAAGAAATATTGTCAATGTTTTTTATCAAAGTAGCATTGCTCGGACTAACTAATGCCCAATTGAGCACAGATNATTTTTTTTTTTTCCCATATTGTATTTCTTTTTTTTTTCCCCTTCAATGAAAATGTGATACCCATAAATTCTTTATATGTATTTATTTCGTTTTATAATTGTAAAGATAAAATTTTAAAATGTATTCAAAATTATTTTTCGATACCATAATTTTATACCCACTTAGACTTGTCTTACTCATGATCAAAAGCTGATGATGATTTCAGCATATTGATACCTTTGGACAAAAAATATCAGACACATCTTGTTGATTTTTTCCATCGTAACTATTGAATAGATATTGGATTTCAATGAATGTTGGGACTCACAGTAATATTAAGAATCAGTAAATATTGAGACCCACAGTTAAATTAACGACAATAATATTAGTAGTCAAGAAATATTGTCATTGTTTTTTATCAAAGTAGCATTGCTCGGACTAACTAATGCCCAATTGAGCACAGATGGGGCTCATTTGCAAATGGAGAAGAAGGGTTTGAAGAGTTGGATGCCCCAGTTTCCTACAGAATAGGGCTCAAGACATGGGCCAATTGGGTTGACTCAACTATTGATCCTAATAAGACCCGCGTCTTCTTCACTACCATGTCCCCTACACACCAGAGGTCCCTCTCTCTCTCTTTCAATACAAACACACACTCACTCACATACACACATTTAACGGACAAACCTCTTATATGCAGAAGTGCAGACTGGAACCGTAAGGATGGGATTAGGTGCTACAACGAAACAAGACCAGTGAAGAAGAAAGGCCATTGGGGAACTGGTTCTGATAAAAGAATAATGAGTGTGGTGGCCAATNCCCTACAAAATTCGACATCATGAAGTTCGACGAAACTGAAAATTTTGAATTATGGTAGAGGAGGGTGAGGGACCTGTTAGTGCAGCAGGGCATGGTGAAGGCATTATACGAAAAACAACCGGCAGGAATGGACGACATGGATTGGAAAGAATTGGAAGCGAAGGCTGTGACGACTATTAGGCTTTGTCTGGCTGATGAAGTGATGTATCACATCATGGATGAGGAATCACCGGCGGAAGTTTGGTTGAAACTGGAAAGTCGGTATATGTCCAAGTCGTTGACGAACAAGCTCTATCTTAAGCAGAAACTATATGGTCTTAAGATGTCAGAGGGCTCGGATTTGACCCAACACATCAACGTGTTCAATCAGATCATCAGCGATCTGAAGCGAGTTGATGTGAAGTTCGAAGACGAAGACAAGGCGCTGATGTTGCTGAATTCCTTACCGGCGTCTCCTACGTACGAGAATTTGGTTACGACTCTGATGTGGGGGAAAGAAACCCTCGAATTGGAGGATGTCACAGGTGCTCTGTTAGGTTTTCATCAGCGGAAGAAAGCCAGTGATGAGGCTTCACAAGGTGAAGGGCTTGTGGTGAAAGGTAACCAGGAACGTGGAAGAAGCAAATCTCGGAATGGATCGGATAATAATAAAGCCCGGTCCAAGTCGAGGAAGAAGAAGAAGGACGTTTTCGTCTCGTGTTACAAGTGCGGGAAAAAGGGGCACTTTAAACGGGACTGTCCAGAGAAAAAGAAAGGGGATTCAGAGAACAAAGAGGGTGCATCAAAGTCTGCAAACGTAGTGGAAGAAGAAGATTCAGAGAGTGGTGACGGAGATATGCTTTCTGTTTTATCTAGTTCAGATCGTTTAACAGATTCTTGGATTATGGATTCAGCATGTTCCTATCACATGACACCCAACAAAGATTGGTTTGACACCTACAGGNTAGATTCAACATGTTCCTATCACATGACACCCAACAAAGATTGGTTTGACACATATAGGTCAGTAAATTCTGGTTCTGTTCTGATGGGTAATGATGCATCTTGCAAAGTTGTTGGAATAGGAAATATTAGAATTAAGATGTTTGATGGTATGGTTAGAACGTTGTGTGATGTTAGACATGTACCGGATCTAAGGAAGAATTTGATTTCATTGGGCACTTTGGATTGTAATGGTTATAGTTACAAATCTATAAGTGGAGTAATGAAAGTAAGTAAAGGCATGCTGACAGTGATGAAGGGACAGAAAGTAGTAGGAAACATTTACAGACTGCTGGGTACTACAATTGTAGGTGGAGTTGCTGCTGTAGAGTCTGAATCAGATAATACAGCCTTGTGGCATATGCGGCTGGGTCATATGAGTGAGCGTGGGATGATAGAGCTTCATAAGAAAAATCTATTGAAGGGTGTCAAGACATGCAAGCTCAATTTTTGCAAATATTGTGTTCTTGGAAAACAGAATAGGGTGCAGTTCAAGACAGCCACACACAAGACAGAGGGGGTTCTCGACTATGTCCATACAGATGTTTGGGGACCAGTTAGCGTACTATCACGGGGAGGATACATGTATTTCGTGAGTTTCATTGATGATTACTCACGAAAGGTCTGGGTGTACTTCATGCGGCACAAGTCAGAAGCGTTTGCCAAGTTCAAGCTGTGGAAAGCTGAAGTAGAGAACCAGACAGGGAGGAAGATTAAATGCCTCAGGTCAGATAATGGTACTGAGTACACAGATTCAAAGTTCCAGGAGTTGTGTGAGCAGCATGGGATCAAGAGACACTTCACAGTCCGCAAGACACCACAACAAAATGGTGTAGCGGAAAGGATGAACAGAACGATAGCCGAGAAAGCTCGGTGTCTCAGGTTGAATGCAGGGCTTGCAAAGAATTTCTGGGCAGAGGCAGTGAATATGGCATGTTTCTTGATTAACAGATCACCGAGGGCAGCACTAGATGGGAAAGTATCAGAGGAGGTGTGGACAGGCAGTGAGGTAGACTACTCTGGTTTGAGAGTGTTTGGATGTCCAGCCTATGTACATGTTTCTAGTGAGGAGAGGTCGAAGCTTGATGCGAAGTCTAGATAGTGTATCTTTCTGGGATATCAGAAAGGAGTGAAAGGCTTCAAGTTCTGGGATCCAAAGGCAAACAAGATGGTGATTAGTAGAGATGTGGTTTTTGATGAAAAAGCCATGTTGCAGCGTACTCAGGAAGAAGAGAAACAAGTACCAGAAAACTGTAGCACTAATGACCATGTGGTGCAGGTGGAGCTAGAGAATCATGGTAGAGAAGAGGATGCTCAGCATGTAGAGCGTTCTATCTTAGGTGATCAACAACATCATAGTATAGCCACAGACAGGTCCAAACGCAATATCAAGCCGCCTACCAGGTATGATTTTGAAGATTTGGTTTCTTATGCGCTTATTACTAGTAGCGGGGATCCTACAACTTTTCAGGAGGCAGTACAAAGCCAAGAGAAAAGTAGATGGATGGGTGCTATGGTGGAGGAGATGGAGTCTCTGCATAAGAACCAGACGTGGGAGTTGGTGGAACTTCCCGAGGGGAAGAGAGCAATAGGGTGCAAATGGGTGTATAAGAAGAAAGAAGCAGTATCAGAAAATGAGGGAGAAAAATTCAAGGCTCGTCTAGTAGCAAAGGGTTACTCACAGAGAAAAGGGGTTGACTATGATGAGATCTTCTCCCCCGTGGTCAGACACACTTCCATCAGGACAGTGTTGGCACTAGTAGCACATTCAGATATGCAGTTGGAGCAGATGGATGTAAAGACAGCTTTCCTTCATGGCGACTTGGAGGAACGGATTTACATGGTACAGCCAGAAGGGTTCAGTCTCCCTGGAGAGGAACATTTGGTCTGTAATTTGAAGAAATCACTTTATGGGCTGAAGCAGTCTCCGAGGCAGTGGTACAAACGATTTGACTCTTACATGATCCGAATTGGCTACAAAAGGTGTGAGTATGATTGTTGTGTCTATGTAAAAAGGCTTGATGATGATTCATTTATTTTTCTGTTACTTTATGTGGATGATATGTTGATTGCTGCCAAGAGTATGAGTGAGGTCAACAAGTTGAAGACTTTGTTGAGTAGAGAATTTGACATGAAGGATTTGGGTGCGGCCAAGAAGATTCTTGGGATGGAGATTCGCAGGGACAGAGCTTCCAGGAGATTATGGCTATCTCAGCATAGCTATGTTGAGAAGGTGTTGGACAGGTTCAGCATGAGTTATGCAAAATCAGTAAGTACACCTTTGGCGAATCATTTCAGATTGTCTACCGCTCAGTGCCCGAAGACAGATGATGAAGTTCATGACATGTCAAAGGTCCCATATGCTAGTGCAGTGGGGTGTTTGATGTATGCTATGGTTTGTACAAGACCAGATTTGGCACAAGCTGTCAGCGTGGTTAGCAAGTTTCTTTCAAATCCGGGTTGACAGCAATGAGATGCAGTCAAGTGGATTTTCAGATACTTGAGGGGCACTACAGACTATGACATCATGTTTAGCAGACAACAGAGTGACCCTTCAGTTATGGGATATGTGGATGCAGACTATGCAGGGGACTTGGATGACAGGAGGTCTACCACAGGTTATGTGTTTACTCTTGTGGGAGGACCTATTTGTTGGAAGTCCATGGTACAGCCTATATTTGCACTATCTACTACTGAGTCAGAGTATATAGCAGTAGCTGAGGCTGCCAAAGAGGCTTTGTGGCTTACAGGTTTAGTCAAGGAGCTGGGTGCCCAGTAAGGTGGAGTTCAATTGCATTGTGACAGTCAGAGTGCCATTTATTTGGCAAAGAACTAGGTGTATCATGCGAGGACCAAACATATAGATGTGAGGTTTCATAAGATCAGGGAACTGGTTTCTTCTGGTGAACTATTACTTGAGAAAATTCACACTTCTGAGAATGCAACAGACATGTTGACAAAGCCTGTTACTATAGACAAGTTCAAGCATTGCTTGGACTTGATAAATGTCTCTAGTTGCTTGATGGGAGATGCCTCAACTCAGCGTCCCCGGTGGAGTTCCTGAATACATGTCCTCTTTTTCTCCTAAGGGGTGAATATTTGCCAAGGTGGAGATTGTTAAAGTATGTGTGGTTCATATTTGCCAAGGTGGAGATTGTTAAAGTATGTGTGGTTCATATTTGCTGTGTGCATAATGGGAAGGAGGCAGATGCCGGAGCGGGAGACCGCGAAGGCATCTGCTTTGTGGGATTTGTATAAAGGGGACGCTGATTAGTTGGGGGTGCGGGGGCAATGCCCCCGTGGTACGGTACAAGGGTATTTTTATAAATACGTCCGTATTAGGGTTATATAAATACTTAAGATGTAACCCTACTTTGAATAATGAAAAAGAACGGGCGCTCGCTCTCGTGGATGTATGCACATTGCCGAACCACGTAAATCCTGTGTGTTAATTTTCTCTTGCTTTTTTAATTGTTTGATTTCTTACTATTCACCATAATTGCTGCACGATCACAACATAGACTAATCAATAAAAAAATCAATTCTTAGTTAACTAATTAGTTTGGATTTGGATCAAATTTGAATTAAAATTCGAATGACTTTAAATTGGTTGTAAATGAGTGGAGCAGTAGGTTGTTTAAACTAGATTTATAGTTAAAGTTTTTTATTTTGTTCAATAGTCAAGGTGTTCGGGTCAACTTAAATACATCTTGATTAATTTTCTTCTTGATTCAGTCAAAAATAGACTATTCACGTTGGGACTAGGGAATTCATGAGAGATAAATCCTTCATGGTCTGACCCCAATGAATTGTTAAAATTTAAACTTAGAATATTTGAGTTTATAACTCATTTCTGTTACCACTTGAGTTACCTTTAGATTTATTTATAGTTAAAGTTTGGTCCATTTTATCTCATGGCACAGTCTCTAATGAGTTTTTTATTCAATTAATTTTGAGCCGACCCAAATAGCTTAACTTGTTATATTACAGTCTTTAAAAGCTAATTACTCTACAGAGGTGAACTGAAAAAATGGTTAAAAACACATTTAAACTTGATTCAGTTTTTCGCCCGGTGGATGCCAATAAATCGTATGCCCCGACCCGAGCCCAATTAAGGTATGGATCCGAAACTCAACAGGCAATTACTTGAAGCCTGGGCTTCGCGGCCCATTCATATAGGGTTTTGGACACTCAACTCTCATTGACGCGCTTTATGCAGGATTTTACTAGCCCTTTCTTATTTTGGTGGTCTGGTTGCAAACTGCGAAGAACGAAACAGGCGCCGATTGTTTCCATCCATGGCGACCGCAATATCGCGAAATGCACACCTCCGCTTCATTTATCGATCGTTATCGTCCTACACTATGAACCAATGGCGATCATTGAAGCCCTCATTTCGGCTCTTACATGGAGTTCCTGATACTAATCACCACCGACCTCTTCCATTCTCCCCATCTGTTCGTCTTCTACTCTCTCTGTCTCTCTCTCTCTATAACATTTATATCGCTGCGGTTGAATGAAATTTGTATTTTTTGTTGTAATTCATAGGATGCTCGGCTAGGTAATTATGGCGTGCAATCTNTATAACATTTATATCGCTGCGGTTGAATGAAATTAGTATTTTTTGTTGTAATTCATAGGATGCTCGGCTAGGTAATTATGGCGTGCAATCTTTGGTGATTTATCAAAGGTTTCTCTGTACCGGTACCGCTACTCCTACTGCTACTGGTAATCAACAAAATTCTGCATCGAATGGATCATCGGAAGCTAATTCTGGAGAAGGCGAAAAGTCTCATGAATCACATCGGACTGCCGAGCAAGGAAAACCTGTTCGAGGCGGAGTATGTTTCTACTCTCTCTCTCTTCAGTGTTGGATTTGTAATACTAGGGTGTGAATTCACTATCGCTTAAAACTTTGCTGGATAAGGCGAAGTAGTTGACCTAATTTGTCTTGTGGATAGTTTTATGATTGTTAGTCATATTGAAATACGACATGATCGAGACACAGTGTATTATGTTATGGTGCAGTTTATTCTCAGCCGGTTGGGACATACAAAATCCGGGGAATTTGAAAACGTATGGCCTAGAAATAATTAACTAGAATCGCCTGATAATCATTTCTTAATTCTTTATTTAAAATAACTTCATTCGAGGAGCCCTATCTCCATTGTCTGAACTGTTGACATTTGTTTCGCCTTTTAAAGTATGAGACTTAGAAAATCATAATGGGGCACTCCATTAGACTTTCGAATAAGAAGAATTTGGAGTTCACTAGAGAATGTCAGTGTTATTCATGGAAGCTTTTCACAAGTTCATTTTCTGTTACTAAAACTTTCACAGCTCATGCTTTTAATCTTAACACAGCATTTAACTGCTGCCCACAAATTGAAACAGATCCAAATCTACCTCGTAATCATTTGGAATTAGCAACTACTCCTACTTCTCCTCTTTCATCATTGTCGGTCCTTTTTACATCAAATTCCTGGACGCCTCCGGTCCAGTGGGTCGGTCCGCCTGTAGCTGGTGACTAGCTTCGCTATGGTGTTGTATATATTACTTTGAGTTTAGTTTTGTCCTTTGGTTGTAGCATCCGGCTTCTACCTTGAATTGATTGAAATTGCCATGACTTGTCTTTCTCTCTTACCTTTAGTATATCTAAAGTTTCATACTATGAGCAGATACAAAATCTGTGACTGTGTTAAAGCTACGCTCTAGCCAAACTCTTGGGATTGGAGTCTGTTACTATGTCAGTTAATTTAATCTGACTTTAGGAACTCCGGGGTTGTATGATAATATTTTAAACCTTACCTTTTAAATTTTACTAGTGCAAGTTTTTGTTGCTTGAACATGGTTATTGTGGTCTTTGCCTTGTTGATATGCTTGAGATTATAGCCTTGGCACTTGAATTCTTTTCCATTGGATATGGATTTAAATGCAAGCTGAACATTAAAGCTTACACATGATAACTTTCGAGCAGCAATGATTTTGTACCAACCACATTTTGGTACCAATAGCCACATCATCTCTCCTTTGGCAACCTAAGCAGTGGAGGAAATATCCTTGTGCTCGCAGTTTTATAAATTTGGCTGGCTGCAATTTTAGCTAACAAATACTGATGGAAATCATCATTTTTGCATTTCAAACTTTTTTTTTTATCTGCAATTGTTGTTTTCTGTTTATATTTTTAGATCTCTACAATACACTTATTGTTTTTAGTCACTTTTCCAACTAGTTTTATACATAGAATTGCTATCCATCCATTTGAAATGCTCCCTCCTTTGTGTAGTCTTCTATAAAATTCCATCATATAGTCAGTCGCCACACTATTTGCCATATGCATTTTTTGCATTGAACATCATCAAATAAAGTTGATCTCACTTGTCATTAGTAAAATATTAATTTATTTCATTGCCTTTGCAGCCTGTTTCTTGGTTGAGTTTTCTGTTGCTGATTGCTACCGGAGCAGGACTGATCTTCTACTATGACCAGGAAAAGAAACGACACATAGAAGGTAGATTATTATGGTGAGTGGGTTTTATTCCCCTTTTAAGGGTGGCGTCTAATATGCATGGGCTCTTTTGAGTCCTTCTCTTCATTTTCTTTACCTATATTCCAACCAGATGGTTTGGAAATAATCTTGCTAGAGTCCAAGGCAATATTAGGTGCCTGAGGACGAAGGAGGGGTGGACTGTAGCCACATGCAAATTCAGAAACCGATAATGGTAAATACAGACAGGGGTAGAAGGATAAAACTATTGTCTTTGTTTCTGTTGGTTGGAGTTTATTAGCTTATTTATTCAGTTCAACACTTAATATAAATTTAAATTGGCATTAAGCTTTCTGAATTGAGCAATTGATAAATTTGGATAAGATTCTTAAAATGTAAGATCTCTTTTCTTTTTCATTGTGATTTTAAATTAGTTCTTCGATCACAAAATTACCTAGAACATAGATTTGTTAATGTTCTCTACCCCATGCTGATTCAAGTAATTGCATTCCCTTGGGGCCCTTACTGCTCTGTTATGGCTTAGAACAAAGATGGCCCAGTGCATGAAAATCCATTAGATATAACATTAGAGATAAATAAAGCAAAATGTTTCATGACTTTATTGACCTGACGGGAAAAAAGAATTTTTTTTACGATATTTCTTAATTATTAATTTAATTATGAATTACATTTCAAATGGAATTCCATTTGAATGGGTATGGGTAGAGGTGGTTATCAATACTCAAACCCTTGACTCCCAGTGCTCGTATTTTGCTTGTGTTAACTTATTCTCTGGGAGATCTCAAATTTGGAGGATGTAATTTTTGCTAGCTAAATAGACTGACGGTAACCCAAAGACTATTATTGAAGGCCATAAGAACACCAAACTCTATCCAGTGAAGAGTGCTGACCTTAGGTTCGACTTGGGAGGCGCAAGTTTTGGAAAGAGTATGCTTTTAAGAGCGGGATTTCTGTGGTAGGGAATGAGTGAGTCTAGTCAAGAAATCTCTAAAAAGTGATTAATTTGATATATATATATATATATGTTACATGTTCAAAGTGTTGTCGGTATTCTGTTTATTTCGTTAGCATCATTAAATTACGTTAAGATATCATTATGCTTACTGTCACCTATTTGGTCTGTTTAGGGTCTATGCGATAGTACTCTTGCAATTTCTCCATATCCAATTACTGTATTGTTATGGGATCATGGTAAATGAAGAATTATAAATTTTTTTCCTCATCCTCATTATGTTATTGTTCTCTTGGATTGCATAGCCTTTTTGGTAGACTAACTGTATGTACATATTTCACTGTCTGTTGTACCTGTTTTTTGCTTAGAATTTTTCTGTGTTTCCACTAATTGCACGTGTATGGTTGATATTCCATTGCTGCAGGAATCAACAATGCCTCAAATGCTGTAAAACAGGGACCCTCTGCGGGGAAGGCAGCCATAGGGGGTCCATTCAACCTTGTTGACCATAATGGGAGATCTGTAACTGATAAAGACTTTTTGGGAAAATGGACCTTGATTTATTTTGGCTTCACTCACTGCCCAGATATCTGCCCGGATGAGCTACAAAAGCTTGCTACTGCAGTTGATAAAATAAGTAAGTTGCTGATTGTTAGTGGATGTAGCTTAAATAGATTTGAGATTAGAAAATTGACATCTTAATACCATCTTTTAGGCACATACATTGTGTGATTTTATACTCAGTGGAGATATGAGATTAAAGTGAGCATGGGCGATAAGTCAGAACAACATTTGGGGCTTGAGAGTATGCTTTAGCTACTAGCATTATTTCTGCATTGAGCGAGGGTAGTGTTACTAGATGATTGTTGAATCCAGTGATCACATACTCTGAAATTGAGGCTGGTGTCTTATTGTTGAAATTTTTGCTGTAAAGTTACTCATATTGTTCCCCATGATCTGCAGCAGCCAAAAAAAAAAAAAAAAAAAACCTCACATTTTGATGATTAGATAGATAATAAGCTTCTTGTTTTGTCATGATTGCAGAGGAAAAGGCAGGGATTGAAATAGTACCTGTGTTTATCTCAGTTGATCCTGAGAGAGATACTGTGGAGCAAGTTGGTGAATACGTCAAAGGTGCTTATTAAAGTTAAATTGAATTATGCAAAATGCATTACTTGGAATCAACCACTTATGATGGCTTTAACATGAGTTTTCGACTTAGTTATTATTTTTCACTGAGGTATCCAGCCTTTTATAACTCCAGTATTTTGAGTGCTTTTTGTGTTTTTATTTATCCTTGTTTTTTGAGTGTCAGAGTTTCACCCAAGCTTAATTGGTCTTACTGGTGCCCCGGAGGAGATAAAGAAGGCTGCCCGTGCATATCGTGTTTACTATATGAAGACAGAAGAGGAAGGATCAGACTACCTTGTCGACCACTCAATAGTCATGTACGTATTACCTTGATATGTGTACTTTACTTTACCTGAATTTAATGCATAATTGATTGCATGTTAACTGTTACTATATTCATCTACTTGGCGGGGATGAGCTAACGTGAACTTCATGCCCTGTATACGAGTTCATCGTGGGCACTGAAGTTAGCCGTTTGCTGGGTCTGTGACACAGGTGGTCATTTTTTTCTGGAAAGAAATGACAATAATTTTAAATGACTGGAGAGCATGATAAGCTTTTCTTTTCAATTGATTGGTTTTTGGCATATTTCCATAATAACGAGTTTCAATGGTAGTACCATTTTGCCTTTTTCTTATTTTGTTTGACCTTGCCATCCTTATTAGGAGATGATTAGCCGAGCCCTTTAGAGTTTAGACAATGAAGCTTTTTACTTACATATTTTCTGATCATAATTGAAGCTTAATATAGATGGGGATTTAGAGAATAGCTCATGGTCTGCTGTGGATATCATTTCATCCACTACATCCATTAAACAAGAGGGACTGGATTGAATTATGATTACAGGAACTAATACTCCTATTCGTCTTTTTAGGGTAGAAATTGTGTTAGGGCATGGACATTGTTGTTAGGCTTTTGTTTTAGAATGGTATAAATCTCATGGCCTTTGACGAGCTATGTAAAGAGGAAAAGGTCCTTATTTACCCGGGGATTAAACACAGTCAATTGTGAATATCCTGACCCCCACTTTTGGACACTTACATACTTATTTCATACTTAAATGTGCTGCCTTTTAGAGGAAGACACAGGTTCTTGTTTGGTCTCTTGGTTGCACGCAAAAAAAATGAAAAGGAATCAACTCTATCATAGACTCTGATAAAAAATAAATAAAAAAAAACTATATCATAGACAGTTTAATGCTCCATTGTGACTAATCGTGTTGTGCTAGGTCCACTCGTTTACGAAATGTGTGATTTAAGATAGATTCGAATCCTCTAATTTTGTGTCGTGTTCGTATCGTATGAACAAGTCATGCCATATTTTACACTCCTAATTGTGACTTGGGTGTCAAGGGTTCGAGTTGCTGAAAAAGCTCTCTGCGTAGTTTCTTATTGACTGTCTTAACAGAATGACAGTCAATTGGAAAACTTAACTAAAGAATAAAAATCTACTTGTTATTTTGTTTGATGATTAACAAAATTGACGGTTTATGCAGGTACTTAATGGATCCTAAAATGGAATTTGTAAAATTTTTTGGGAAGAACAATAACGTTAACACGCTTTCTGATGGGGTGATTAAAGAAATAAAGGAGTACAAAAAAGTCAAAGCATGATCTTTACAAAAGACCTGACCCTGGAGCATCATTTTCTGCAGTGCAGCTTCAGTTTCCTCTATTTTTGGAGATGATTTATAGTTAGTCTCGGGCGTGTTCACTTCAGGCCGGGGGAAGAATTTTACTGTCCTACGTTCTTTTGTAGGGTTTTGAGACATAAGCTAGACCTTAATTACTGTTTTTTTAGTTCAATGAACCAATTATTGTAGGGTGGAAGATTTCCACAACATCATTTTTGTTTTCATAAAAAGTGAGGCAAATCATGCCTTTGGTGAGCATTGCATTGTGTAAAAATCTACAGAAACAAACTGTAACAGCACAGAATCCATATTATTGTCTATATAATTAGACTTCTAAAGTACGTTCAATAATGACACTTGAATAATGATCGATTAGCTGTTTATCCACCTGGATGTAGTTTGTTTCAATAAGCTATACTCCGGCCTCGAGATCCTCCACAGTTCCTGGAGATCTCAATCTTGCAGCTCCATTTACACATGACTGGGTCGGCCTCGTGCTTCATTGATGTCTTTTAGCTCTAGCTTACACCAATTCAATTTTCAGCTTATGCACACTGGTGTTTTATGATCTCAATGTGACAAGCAGGTGGAAATATACAGCCCTTCAAATCTGAAACTGATAAAAGAGGAAACATAAGCATATACCCTTACAAAATGGAGTCAGTTATCAAGCAAAATAGCAACCACAAAGAAGTTACAGAAATGCAATTGTCGGATCAGTTGACATGCAAATGCCAGGCAATTGGACATCAGTAAGTGACTTGACACCCTTTCTATAAAATTAGTATTGACAATTCAAATCATTGCTTTCCAAGAATCAGTAGTTCCAAACCATATGAGCACCATAAAATTAGAGTACATGAAATTACGTGAAACTTTTCCCCTAGGCTTGGTGTCTGGATAAAGGTCATGTAGTGTTTGCTTCCAAAAGCAGAACTCACTCTAATCAAAGAAGCATCCATACTACATTTCAAAGAAAGAAAGATTGCAACAGACTTTAATCAAGGATAAAACAAAGCCATTCTCTTCACAGTAGGTTTAAAAAAATTGAAGATGTTGTAATGTTTGTAAACAATCAATTTAACCAATAAGCCAATCCAGGAGTATTCACCAATTAGTCAACTACTACAGAATATTCAGTATTCAACATCGCACAACGCACATCAAATAATAGCAACTAGGAGAATATGGTGACATCAACAAGAAAAGCACAACTAAGGAAATATCACAAATAATCAATGCTAAAGTGAAATGGTAAATAAAAAAACATCTTTGCCAAGCATTGAAGTCGATGGAATATTTCACAACTAGGTGCCAACGATACAACAGTTGCAACTCAACACAGATGGAACAAAGCAATAAGCAGAGACTGTGGCCAGAGAGCTGTATTATTAAGATACACCCATCTTCAAGTAGCCCCCATTTTCTTAGTTGAAAAACAATTTACACATGGAAACCCAAACTTCGACGGACATCACAATACCTCAACAACAGTTGGAGCCAAGAACTCTCTGTTATGCAAGAGGCTATTATTCAGTCTAGTTTTCCATTAGAAGCTAGCATTTTTTCCGGTTCGTGTACTTCATTGAGCTTACTGCTAAACAAAATGTTTTACTCAGAAGTTAGCATCATATATTAGATCATCATTAGCTAAATGAGAATGCTGAGAGATATGGATTGTGTACAACCCTAACATTTGGAATAGTTACACAAAGTAGATGACCTCTAAATTGAACAAACAACTTTACGGTTGTAAATAAGGCAATAATGCCTATCTAGAATCATAAAAGCACAAAATTAAATTTAATTCCCCCTTTTGAAATCCCTTTTCTCTTTTTTGGCTTTGAATATTGTATTTTCATCTCAAACTAAAGTATACAATGAAAAAGCTTGAGGTACAGTTTAAACATGATGTTACATTCTAATATTTCTCTACTTTGAGTTTTTAAATGCATACCGACTCTTTAAGGGTCAAACTATGAATGTAAGTTTTCATCATTACATCCATGCCTTGAAATTGTTGAGTGCAATACTTATGCCTTGACAAAAAAAGTCAATGGCTAAAATTTATTGAGATGCATTCTAAATACCTTAAATGTCTTGATACACTCTTCGGTGTCTTATTTACTTCCTCTAATTCGAACTATGTTGTTTACCTCTTTCCTTCCCGAGTCAACTTCTTCATCAATTTATCAAGTACATGAAGGACTTGGAAGTGGCCAGTTAAAAATCATGTACCAATTATCTTCGATTAGTCCAGCTAAGGTTGATTAAAACAGCAAGGACTCGCTATCACACACACAAGGCAATTGCATCAGTAGATAACAGATACACCACCCGGCCCTTCCCAACTTACTCATATAATACACATTTTAACTAAGAATATCTCCAGTACATGTAACAATGTAACATTAATGCATCAATTCGTCTACTTACTCCAAACGCAATTCTCAATTTCTCTCTCCAAATCCGAGTTAGGATTATGCATATACTTCAATTACGACAGTAAACGCCTGCTCCCCGATCACATATAAGCATCTATAGCGCTCAATTAGGACTAGTAACAGCTATGGCATCAAATTTCTCCAAACACTGCTCCACTTAGATAATCAAAAACATCAAATCGTTACTGGTTCATCTTTCATTCCGGTGAGAAGTCCGACATTTGCATACCTTCAGGAAGCTTGTGGAGCCTCGGCAATCCAGCTGGAATCCCATCCAGATGAGTCGTACCATTCCTCCCATCCTCCACGTCACCAGAAACCGCCGTGACATCCGGCAACGGTTTCGAAGCACGCCTGTAATAGCCGTTACCCTTCCTCCGGCTATGGTTTCGCTGCTTCTCGGCGGCGCCAGACTTCTTGAAATGCTGCGGCGAGTCGTCCTCCGCCGCTGTATCGTCTCTCTCTTTTTGTCTCTTTATCGTCTTCGTGACCTCAAGCAACTGATTTAGGGCTTTAAGGTGCATGTAATAGACCGACACCGCCACAAACGAAGCTCCGATAAGTGCCGCCACAGCTACATGGAGAGTATATGTGCCCATGATTCGCTCTCAAACGCAAGCTTACTCTTTCTATACAACACTATGTATGTATGCGTGTAGATAACCCCACTGAATAGGGAGGGAGGGAGGGAGCTCTGTTTTATTTGGGAGAAAAGAGGTGAGCTCGTGGTATTTATAGGGAGGACTGAGGAAAGAGATCAGGATATATTCGCGTGTGTGTTACGTTAATTGTTCTCGTTTTCTCTTCTGGTTTTTGGTAAATTACACATTTACACCAATGATTAAAAAAAATTGCTTAGTTGTGGATTAAAAAAATAATTTGGATTAAAAAAATTTATTTAGATAAATCTTGACCAAATTTTTACCCAAATTTTAATCAAAAAATTATCCAAATTATGTAGTTTTAATCATGAGTTATTCAAATTTTGGTTCAAAGTTACCTATGTTACATAATTTTGGTCCAAAGTTATTCAAATTTTGGTCTAAAGTTATTCAAATTTTGGTCAAGAGCTATCCAAATTATTTTTTACCTATATTTAGGTATCACGTAATAAGTTTATAATTAAAACCCGTTAACAATTTGAATGTTATCTTCTTAAGGGACCACATAAAAGCATATTTAATACTTTAAGGACCAAAATAATACAATTAAAATATTGAAGATTAAAATAAAACAAATTTTATATTTTAGGGATCTCCAATGCAATTAACCTTTTTTTTTTCAACGATTAGAGCCAATTTACCTTTGTCGATTAATTCCCATTTCGGTCTAATCAAAGATTAGCCAGACACATCGAAACTAAGGTATTCATGAGAGATAATCTCCTCTCCTCTTTCTTTAGCTAGGAAGGACCGAGGAGAGAGATCAATACATATTTGCGTGTGTGTTACGTTAATTGCTCTCGTTTTCTTTTCTCTTTTTTTTTTTGATTCAACGGTTAAAGTGTCTGAACCAGCTTATGAGCATTTCGACTAATCCCCTCTTTGATCTAATTAAAGATAGATCATCCACATCAAAACTAAAATATTCATGAGGAATAATCCACTATCCTCTTTCTTTTGCTCTCTAGCTTCTCACTGTACTTTTGATAGTGCTTAGGTGAGAAATTTGATTACTTTTTTTAGTGTAATATTTTTGTTGTAAACTTGGTTACTTTTTGTCGAAATGATTAGATTATGATCATACTAGGAGTAACTCGTGTTTGAAGGAACAATGTAACGTAAGTAAAAAATAATAGATTTTGGGGGAGAGGAAATTCAATGTGAATGATTTTAAAAATGATGTTGGTGGCTGTTAGATTAGTCTATTTAAGACTGTTGGATGAACTTATTGAAATCTGTCTTATTTTATATTATAGATATTGTTTCCAAAAATGGTCTCTTCGTGAAAAATAATTTCAAATCCTGGCATTTTTTCAATTAGGGCAATATTATGATACGTTAATCTGTAAACTTACGCATAAAATTTAATAATTAGTATAATCAAATGAGATATTCTTTTTTTTAAGCCCAAAAAGGCACAAAAAGATTTGGTGTGTTTCTTAACCCGAGTCCCGATAAGAAAATCTGGTGAAGTGATCCAATAACAAATACAAGCGCATATAGAGTAATGTGTGACACATATAGATAAAGATAGGAACCCATCAATTGCTAGTCCTTGTCCATCAAAGAAGATAATGGATTCGAATTTTGAGATGTAGCATCTATTATTAATTTTTTACTTTTGTTTGATAATGAATGTTAGATAATGATGATATCAAAAATAATATTAAAAAGAAGTAGAAATATATCTCCATATCTTGCCTATAGCTAGACTCAATAACCAAGTCGTCTAGGTACGACCTTAGACAACTATGACTATGTCGTCTATATCATCACACGAAAAAAGTTAGTATTTCTAACTCAGGTCAAGCATTTGGATTGCACTCTTTTACTCATGAGCTGACCAAAAGTGTAAGAGGTCATCCCAAATAGTATGACCTCTCATAGATAAGGAAGATCACAACGTATCCAAGCTTGGAGATAAGTCATGATGTCACTTCAGCATATTTTAAAAAGTCACATCACACTTAAGGAATGTAGTCTTTAACAGCTAAATATCCCCCTAACAAAATCTTAATAAACTGAGGACCGTGTGATGATCACATGAGAACCACCCCACATGTGGGTATAAATACAATAGCAATCACTTATGGACAAGGGGCCAATTGTGATTTCTTCAATTATATAACGATTATCTTCTACCTCAAGCAATAGAAAACCTCATGTTAGGTTTTTGTGGAGTCTAGTTTGTGTTGATCTGGATGATGACACGACTCGAAATAATGTTGCATGGTTTTCAGTGAAAAATTTTCTGAAGGTTAGTCCATGGAGTGGGGGCTTAGCCGATAGGCCTAAGCCATAGGACATATAAAACCGGTTTGGGTCTGTTTCGTAGTCTAGTGCGCAGGACATATAAAACATGTTATTGGTGATTAGGGTTTGATGTGTATTGTATAGCTGCCCTTTGTATTCCTTTCTCTCAATAGTGAAATCCTTGTAGCTTCATGAACGTAGACAAATTGCCGAATCACGTAAAATCTGTGTGTCTTGTTCTTTCTTATTTCTCATTGTTTTATGTTCTTGGTTTGTTCTTCGATTGTGTGTGTTTGTCTGTGGGTTTAAAGCGCAACAACTGGTATTAGAGCTCCGGGTTAAGATGTAGATGGAAGATATTTCATATCAGAAGGATTTGTATCAACCTATTGATGATATGAAGCCAGTGGATATGAAGCAACCAAAGTGGGATGTTCTGGATCACAAAGCCCTAGGGATAGTACAACTATGCCTTGCACCGTCAGTTGCATTGAACATCGCCAAAGAAAAGACTACATTAGATTTGTTCAAAACCCTAGAAAAGATGTACGAAAAGCCTTCAGCAGTTAATAAAGTATATTTTATGAAAAAGTTGTTTAACCTAAAGATGTTTGAAAATACTATTATTGCTGAACATATCAACAAATTTAATACGGTCACAAATTAGTTAGAATCCATGAGTATTATTTTTGATGATGAAATTAGAGCTTTCGTCCTTTTATCAAGTTTGCTGAAAAGTTGGAATGGACTTGTTGTGGCAGTAAGTAATTCTTTTGGGTCTACAAATATAAAATTTGAGGATGTTGTGGCATTGATATTAGGAGAAGAGGCTCAAAGAAGAGCATCGAGGGAGGATGTTGTTTCAGGTTTAACACTCAATACGAAGGAGAGAGGTAGATCTATGAATAAGCGAGACAATAAAAAGGATAAGGAAAATTCGTATTTGAGAAATAGAGGCCAAAATAAATCTCGTGGTGAAGATGAGGGCTGTTGGAATTGTGGTCAGAAGGGGCACTAGAAGCGGGACTTCAAGGCACCGCGAAAGGAGCAGAATGAGAATAATCAAAGAGATAAAAAAAACTACTAATATTACTGACGAGTCTGATAATGATGCTTTAATTTATTCGCTGGATTCTCATAGTGAATCTTGGATTGTAGATTCTGGAGCTTCATTCCATATTACCCTACTCATGAATGTACTACAAAACTATGTGCAAAGAAACTTTGGCAAAGTGTATTTGGGCGATGATGAAGCCTGCAATATAGTTGAGAAAGGGAATATACAGATTACTCAGACAGACATGACGGTTCTGAAATTGAAGGATGTTAGACACGTGTCTAGTCTAACACGAAATCTTATTTTAGTGGGTTAGTTGTCAGAGGGTGAAGTGGTCACATCGTTTACATCATATGCTTGAAAGATGAGTAAGGGGGCTTTTATTCTTGTTTGTGGTAAAAAGGAAGAAATTCTATGTGTATCTTCGGGTACTTACAATAGCATCACGGTGACAGTATCATAAATTGACTGCACTACGTAACATTGTAGGCTGAGTCACATGAGCGAAGAGGGGATGCAAGTAATGATGTCGAAAGGGAAATTGTCGGGTTGTAAGTCGCTAGATTTGCACTTCTGTGAGGATTGTGTTCTTGGGAAATAGAAGAAGGTCAACTTTACAAAGGTGGCAAGGACCCTGGAAACGAAGAAGTTGGAGCTTGTTCATACCGAAGTGTGGGGTCCATCAAATGTATCTTTTGTTAGTGGTTCACGTTGTTTTGTCACTTTCATTGATGACACTACTAGAAAATTAGGGGTTTATTTCCTTGAGCATAAATCTGATGTATTTGATATTTTTAAGAATTGAAAAACATTAGTTGAGAATGAAAGAGGGATCAAATTAAAGTACCTAAAATCAGATAATGGTGGTGAGTATTGTGGCAATGAGTTTGAGGCTTACTGTGCTGCGAATGAGATTCGAAGGTTGAAAACGGTTCCAAAGAAGCCAAGACAGAATGGAGTTGCTAAGCTCATGAACATGACGATTCTAAAGCGTGCAAGGAGCATGAGGTTACACGCTGAGTTACCTAAGCAATTCTGGGTTGATGCAGTAAATACCGATGTGTATTTGATCAACAGGGGGCCTTCAATTTCATTGAATTGTAGATTGCCAGAGGAGGCTTGGACAGACAATGAAGTAAATTTATCTCATTTACAAGTTTTTGGTTGCATTGCCTATATACATCTAAAATTGGAGGATAGGGATAAACTCGATGCTAAGTCTCATAAGTGCGTGTTCATAGGCTATGATACTAATAGCTATCGGTATAGATTGTATGATTTTGAGAATCGAAAAACAAGCAGGAGTATTGATGTGGTATTTAATGAGGTAGTTTCGTATAGAAACAGACTAAGTCAATTCAAGGAGGCTGAGGTAAAATCAGACTTTGTAGAGTTTGAGGGGATCCCCAACAGAAATGTCTTAGAGCCTTAGGATACTAATACACAATCTACTCCACTGACAGATCCATAGACTCCTCTTCTTAGAAGGACTACACATATGGTAATACCTTCAATACATTATTCTTCATTTTTGAATTATTTGTTGTTTACTGACAGCGGTGAACCAGAATGTTTTAAGGAAGCATTGTAGATTGAGTCCAAAAAGGAGTGGGAGTATACAATGGAT